CTGTAGCATTATATTTGCTCGTTTCTATTACTTCAGCTAAATGATTCAGTTTTCCCTGTATAGAATTCAGCCCTACTTTTTAATCTTCCCAATTCCATATCTTATCAAACACCATTAGCACACTACTACATTTTGTACCAATGTCATTAAAGAAAATAATAAAGTTTATTTTTAAAACTCCAAGAATGGAAAAGGGAGAAGAAAATAACAACAGTACTGACAAAAGGAATGTACAGCATGCTATGTTCTCAATTCCCGATACTCAGCTTACACCTAAGCAGTAAATCCCCTTCCTTCAGCCAGCTTCCCACTTAAATGCTGCACATGACATCACATGGCACAGAATATCCCATTTGATTAGATGGTTTGGGTCAGCCCAACCAGCTTCTTGTGAAAATTAACCTTATCTTAGCTGAACCCAGGATGGCAGGTAAAGAAGGATAGACTCTTTCTGCAGGCTATTCGGAGCAGAAACCTGTCTTAGTAATTCAGAACTCTCCCTAGAGAAACCTTCTGTTGACTATAAAGGGAGCATAACCAGAACAGCTAAAGTTAGCTTTTTGGAATGTCCCTGTTCCTGTACCAAGCAGGTGACTAACTCATTTTTCTATTACAGAGAAACATTAGGTTTCCTAGTCAATTAGGATGCGTGAGCTTAGACTTGGAACTGGGGACAGATAGAGGGTTCTGATTTCTGTAACTTTACCCACACTAGGATGCGCAAATTGAGTATGTGTTTTTGAATTGATACCATTGATTGTGCCTAGAACTACATTTTTCTATCATCTCATTGAAATTTTTCTCACCTATACCGTCGTGTTTTGTGGATATTTGTATAGCTATGCATTGTCATATCCTTCTGAAGATTGGTTATTTGAATAAGAGGTTCTCCCTACATTATTCAAGACAACAAATGATTTTTTCAAGACACAGGTTGTAAAGATGATCATAAATCATTATGGCAGTGCTCCTTAAAAGCATTAAAAGTTCTATTGCAAGATCAAGAATTTTATTTCCAGGTAGATAGGAGATAGCTTCTTAAGTACTCCAGAAAGAAGGTTTATAACTGAAATCAGCAAAAAGTGGTATGGATTTGTTTCAGGCAGCAGCATATGTTCATGAAATACATTTTCTCAGGGGTCACCTAGTAGATAAAAGATGGAGTGGAACTCTGGTATTTGGAGTTGAACTCAGGTTCATGACCAAAAAGCAAGAAAGTATTAAACTCTAGATTGCAACTTAGGAAAACCTATTGCTTTTCTTGATCCCTGTTTTGTTTGAACTCTTAACACAGAAAACTTTAAAGCCACAGCGTTTAACAGATGTTACATACATCAGCACACTCAATGCAGTATTTGCATGCCTGTCCTTACAACGCCATTTTCTTCTGCTATGCTATATGTGTCTAAATCTTTGCTCTTGATGTGTGGAGAATTAAGGCACTGAAATTTTATTCACTAAACAAACAAGTTTAAAACTACAATTTAAAAAGATAAAACCTACAAATTAAAAACATAAGAAAATTACATTATTATTATACTTCTATTGTTACATATGTTGCTGTTGTGAAACAAAATATATTTGAGATAATAACAAAACTATGTGCTTAGTACATGAGTTATGGTCTTGACTTTTTCATTTCCTTGTCCATGTGAAATTATGACTTCTATATGGAATAAATATTTCCTCTCTGTAAATGACTACATGGTGTAGTAAGTAATATAGTCCCAGGGCTACTGTAACATTTTGCACAAAGGTCAGAAACAAATTTGCTTAAAGAATAACATATCAGCTTAGAGACAAATCCTAGAATTCAGCACAGCTCAGGGCAGGAAACCAAAGGCAAAGCATCCTTCTGCCCAGCTAAGCAGCGTGTTAGTAAGGGAGCAGATTTACCTCCGACTGTGCAGGTCTGCCCCTGCATGGCACAAACTATTTAAACACAGGCAGAGATGAACTAGGAATTGATTGATACCCACAAGTTTGGTCACCCCCTCAGAGCTTTCATACAGAAAATAACAGCAAAAAAGAGCCTGATACAAAATCAAAAGACTCTGTAATTATAACTGTGAGATAAAAATGAACATAATTATGGACTCAAAATGAGGCATCATCTCCTTAACAGAGCATACTAAAAACATAAGTCATGCAAAACTTTCTCAAATGCACAAGATCTGAAAGTCTGAGAAGCAGCAAACCAAAACCAGAAAACATCGCAACATCATATGATGGACAAACTAAAACTATTAAATGTGGTCTCTTCAAAGAGAACTAAGTTAGCAGGGTCTCTGACCTGGAAAACGTTCTCTTGTTCCTACCTGCTGTCATGTTCTGCTGGCAGCTATATATTTATGTATACAAATTTGTAAAACATATATTAATAGCATTAATGGAAAGTTTGCCACATGAAAGAGCAGACACATAGTGAAAGAAACACGGTCAAATGAAAGAGAGAGGAGAAAAAGAGGAAAGCACCTCAACTCTGCCCGTGAAAATATCTCAGGCCAGTGAGGAGGTGATGAGCCAGACCCTAATTTCCACTGAGAGTGCTGCATGCAGTGAAAGGCTTCTGCATAGCATTAGTGTCACGTGTTCAAGGCAAAGCACTGCCTAATGTGAGAGATGGAGTCAAGTTTGTTACAGGTGAATTAGTCGAGTTTGAATGGGCTTCACTAGTGAAGACAATTTAAAATGCATCTCCACACAAAGCACATGTACAATATACATCTTCAAATTAGCAGTGTTCACCATGCAGCCTCTTCCATCTGTATTAACCAGAGAAAAATTAAAGTAAGAATTTCTTTACTAGGAAATAATACAGGAGAGGATAATGCAAACCAAATGAGAAGCAGGGCAAGGAAAATCAATTTCTCATCAACTGTGGGGCAACTAACTTAAAATAAATTCACTTAGTTTCTAATCAGTACCAAATAACAACACGGTCCTTTGAGCTATACTGGAATGATAAAGCACCAAATTTATGACAGAGGAGACTTTAACTTCTATGAGAAAGGCTGTGAAATAACAACAAAATCCCAAGCATCTTACAGCTTATCCCTAGAAAGCAGGTAGAAGGGGCCTTTGGCATGACATTTGTGATAAGTGTCTTTTACTATAGGATAGTTAATGCCCTGAGCAAATACAGCAACAGCAAACAGTAAAAATTATTTTTAATTCTTTGCATGGAAGTTGAAAAACTAATTGTGACATGTAAGCTAAAAACAAGAAAGGGTTTCATTACACTGCAGATGGCCTGAGCAAAGGGAATATGTGACACAAAAGGAACTGTGATGAGATTACAAAGTATATCAGAACGATTTGATTAATCTCCTGTCCAGGGAGCGGAAGAAATAGACACTACAGAAGACTTAAATTGGAGGAATGATAAGCACGTACTTCCAGACTTCTGCTTCTTCTGCTTTTAACAGCTTATCTCCATTTTACTCAATTATTTTATTGCTGAAGGATTTTCACATCCTTAAATCATACTTCCTTGGGCACCGTGATATGTGTTGTGTCTCCAGAAAACCGTGCTTCTCAAAAAGCTATACGCATCCCACTCTGACACTCTCCTTTTTTAGTTACAGCTCCTCCTGTTAGGAACTTCAAAGTGGATTTAGGTCTTGAGGAGGCATGGTGTTTATTCAAAGATCACTTGAAGTGTTTTTAATTTCTTCCCTACCCAAGATACTGTCATACCACTTTCCCTCTACTCGTCTTTGGGAAGGTCTTCTCAAGAACGTGGAAAATTCAGGCATGCCTCACTCTTGGTCGGCTTCTTCTCTTGCTGTAACATCCACATCCCCATGGTATTTGAGACAGAGCTGAAAAACTGACAATAAAGAAAGAACAATTCTCCACTGTACTCCCTGTGTTGGGCCTAGCTGGCAGGGTTTCAGTTCAGGGGTGGCAGCTGTGTCCTGTGTGGGATGAGGTCTCAAGCTGTGCTGCTCCGGTCACAGTCATTTCCAGTCAGCTCTGACACCTGTGTGTGACACGAGCTGAAAAGTGTTGAGTCTAGGATACAGAAGAAATCCTATATCCTAGTCTCCACATAAAGGAAGTCCGAATGCATGGCCCAGCTACCAGCTGGGTGGTACTCCAGAATAGCCCCAGTTTGCATAATCAGACATTAGCAAGTAACTAAGCATGAAATTTCAAAAGAGTTGATCAAGAAACACTTTCAGGTAGATTTTCTAACTGACTAGGCAGTATGCATAGATCCTATTAAAAGCATTAGTTTCGGTGACAAATGTGAGAGTGTAGGTATTTGAAAATGAATGATCCTGAAGTTTGAGGAAATGCTGTGAGTGTCAGAATATCAGCTCAGTGTTACTGTGACACTGAGTAAACATACAGTGGGGAACTTAGCGGAAACAGAAGAACCTTCAACAGGAACACCACTGTTTTGCTTCCACCTGGTAAAACATGCAAATTTTTACCTCATATTAACTGATATTCATTACAAAAATAAGATTCAATCAATTTTCCCAAGATTAAGAAGCATAAAGTAAGCCTAGTCTCTCCTTCCCTACCTGCATATCACAGCCTTTTACTCAATTATGTTCTGTCATCATTACAAAATTACTATACAATAATGAGCACATTTTTCTGCACAGATGGGAAGAGCATGCATTGTATCTTAGCAAATACACAGGATAAGTTCTAGGCCTCACATAAGCACGGTAGTATTTGGTGAAAAGCAGCAGTGGGATGTCATTAGTGTAGTGGGCTACACAGAGCACAGGGTATGGGACCTCCTCTGCCTGAAATATCGTGTAGATGGCTGCATGTAGCCAGAAATATCAGTTGACATAAGCAGGAAGCAAGAGCAGTTAACTTAGGTGTCCACTCATCATGAATTAAGTGATCTATAATAAGCACTCTGGCCAAGAAAACATCCAGTCTCAATGCCTGACTTCTGCTCAGAAGTAGAATTAGCACTGCTTCCTTTCACTACTTTCCAGTGCTTTAAGTTTTTTTCCTTTTGTTTTAATTAGCACACAGAAGCCAACATCTTCAGGTTTCCAAACAAATGAGTATGCTGATGCCCAACTTCAACAGATTGTCAGAAAAATGCGGGAAAGGGCAACAGTCTATAAGGAAAAGCTGAAAGACCCAGTGTTGTCCTCCCCTGAAGGCAGTCCTCCAGCTTGTAAGTAACTCTAGAAATAGCTGTGCATGTATTGAGTTTAAAGATGAAAATTATTTTGTGGGAAGAGAAAATACTGTGATAAAATTTTCAAATAAGTATAGCATATTTACCCACTGAAATGGATCAATTTGTGCCCACTGAAGTTAATTTATCCATATTAGTCTACAGTAAGACAGGTCCTTAGGTCAGAGCTCCTTTGAACCGCATCACTAAAGAATTTGGGGAAAAAAACGAAGTCTTATATATTTGAAAATAGCTCACAGATACATTTATTCATGGGGATGAATCTGAAACATATGCAGAAACATACATATCTTATGACTAGATATTAATCAATCTCAGATTAGATCTGCTGTGTAAAAGTAAATAAAATTTTAGTCATGGCAGCAATCTTCTAGACACACTGAGGACTCTAAGTGCATGCTTTAGATAGAGCAAACTCATCTGAAATTAATTAAGTATTTACCTTTGACAAAATATAAAACATAAAACCAATATGATATTTTTCCTGCTTAGAGGAAATTTTGACTTTTTTTTTCTTATCACAAAGAGTTGAGTGTGGTGATTTTATATTCTGACATTTTTTAGAAGCTGATTATTGCTTACAAGTTTTTTAATGAGCTGGAAAAAATAGTGCCTGATGTATCATAAACTACACCAGCCGACAAAGGAATTACCTTTTTTTTTCAATTATTCTTTGTTCATTCAACTTTTTTGTTCTCTTCCTAGAACTTACAATCATTTATTTCCTAAATCATTATAGATCTGGTTTTCCAGTTTACTGGTAGGAACATGTAACCTACTCAGAGGTATAGCCACTGGAAATAATGGGACAAATGTGTGGACAAAATTATCCATCCCAAAGATGGAAGAACTGGGCTCAAAGGAGTGCCACAAGACTTTTGTAAGCCTAGAAATACACAAAACCATAGGCTTCCCATTAATTTCACCTGCTGCATCTTGCATATCAGGTCTCAAGTGAGGGGAGCGATGAGCGCATGGCACAGACATCTTTTCTTATCTCCCACCTAACTGCATATATTATTTGCAACAGTCACGTAAAGAGAAATGCCTGGTTGTATTAGTGAATGCTGAATTATGAATTATCTTATTTCTTGTCAGTCTTTTATGGCATTAGTTGTGCACACTGTCCAAGGAAATAATGCAATATATGTATTGTACTCTGTAAAATGAAGTATCCTGTTCTTGACAGCAGATTTAGATGATTATTTCAGTGGAGATTTTACTCTCCAATCTGTTTTCTAATGCATTCAATATTATGATGAATTGTAGCTTTAGTCACTGCCAAGTGTGTTTAGAAGAGTTTTTACTATGGTGAGGCTCTTGTACATGTTAAAGTTGGGTCTAATTGAGCCATATTTAAAATGTCACCCTTTGTGGCCTTCTGTGTGGCTAGCACCATCAAAGAAGAAGCCTCCACCCCCACCAAAAGAAGAACAAAAAGGAGAAAAGAAAGAAGATGCAGAAGTAAAGCCAGAGGAGGATCATTACTGTGATATGCTGTGCTGTAAATTCAGAAAACCTCCACTGAAAAAATACATGGAGTATCTGCATCTACCAGACAGCATAGACTCATACACAGGTAAATTAAAAGCCATGCAATAGAATGGAGTAAAGGCGTACTGAAGTGACCCAGTATTATCACATAGCACCTGAGAGCCACCGTAAGATCCACATTCCAATTTGCAACCCAAAGGGACGCATAGATCCTGCCCTAAAGAACATTTGTTCAAAAAAGAAAAAAGACATGAAGAGTGACAATATTTATAAAGATGGTATGCACAAAGCTGGTATGCAAACCAACCACAATTAAAACCCAAGTCCTCTGATCTTTGATCTAGAATTTGTCCCTTTCATTAGGGCAAAAAATTCTTCTGTCAGTTATATCATACACCACCAGCATGCAAAAATGTATCACATTTCTTCCAATGCCTTAAATTCTATATGTTCTCACAAACTTATCTTTTTTCCCTTTTGCAAACTCTCTGTGTGACTCCTAGTTCCAATCTATATCACTTTCACAGCCTGTGCTGTTGAACAAGGGAGAACGGTTGGTTGCTCTGGGCAGAAATATTCCCAGAGACTGCAGTAGAATAAATGTGTCTAAAAGAATGAGAAAACATTCTAAGTTCATGCCTGTAAATTCAATGTTTTTTCTTCTAGATCGCCGTTACGTAGCATGGCTCATGCTTGTGACAGTTGCCTATAATTGGAATTGCTGGTTTATTCCCCTTCGCTTCGTGTTTCCGTATCAAACCCCAAGTAATACAATATATTGGTTTATCATAGACATCATTTGTGATATCTGCTACCTGTGCGACTTACTGATTTTCCAGCCCAGAGTGCAATTTTTAAAAGGTGGAGATATAATAGTAAGTATTGGAAGTGGGATTTCCATGAACATTAGTTGTCTGTTAAGGTATATTATAGAAATTCCCTCTAATTTGACACATTTTCTCCTGCTATGTCAAATCTATGTAAGTTTTTTTATTTGTCAAAGGATATCTATGTTCTTCTTCACTGACTTTCCATTATTATTATTATTGACACTGTTCCCCACAGTATGCTCCTGGAGAAACTAGCTGCCCATGGTTTGGACAGGTGTACTCTTAACTGGATAAAGAACTGGCTGAATGACTGAGCACAGAGAGGGGTAGTGAATGGAGTTAAACCCAGCTGGCGGCCGGTCACGAGCGGTGTTGCCCAGGGCTCCGGTCTGGTCTGATCTTGTTTAACATCTTCATCAAAGATCTGGATGAGGGGATTGAGTGCTCCCTCAATAAGTTTGCAGATGATACCAAGTTGGGTGGGAGTCCTAATCTGCTCGAGGTTAGGAAGGCTCTGCAGAGGGGTCTTGAGAGGCTGGATCAATAGGCCAAGGCCAACTGTATGAGGTTCCACAAGGCCAAATGCCAGGTCCTGCACTTCAGTCACGACAACCCCATGTAATGCTACAGGCTTAGGCAAGAATGGCTGGTAAGCTGCCTGGCAGAAAAGGACCTGGGGGTGTTGGTCGATAGCTGGCTGAATGTGAGCCAGCAGTGTGCCCAGGTGGCCAAGAAGGCCAACAGAATCCTGGCTTGTATCAGAAATACTGTGGCCAGCAGTAGTAAGGAGGTGATCGTGCCCTTGTACTCATCACTGGTGAGGCTGCACCTGGAGTATTGTGTTCAGGTTTGGGCCCATCACTACAGGAAGGACACTGAGTTGCTGGAACGTGTCCAAAGAAGGGCAATGAGGCTGGTGAAGGGTCTAGAGAACAAGTCTTATGACGAGCGACTGAGGGAGCTGGGGCTGTTCTGTCTGGAGAAGAGGAGGCTGAGGGGGGACCTTATTGCTCTCTACAACTACCTGAAAGGCCGTTGTAGTGAGGCAGGTGTTGGTCTCTTCTCCCAGGTAACTAGCGATAGGACGAGAGGCAATGGCCTCAAGTTGCGTCAGGGGAGGTTTAGATTAGATAATAGGAAATATTTCTTTACTGAAAGAGTGGTCAGGCATTGGAATAGGCTGCCCAGGGAGGTGGTTGAGTCCCCATCCCTGGAGGTGTTTAAAAAAATGTGTAGATGTGACACTTCAGGATATGGTTTAGTAGGCATGGTATTGTTGGGTGGATGGTTGGGCTCCATGATCTTAGACGTCTTCTCCAACCTATGATTCTATGACTCTACAATTCTATGATCCAATTTTGGAAGAAGGAAACATATCCATTGTCTACATTCTTAAAAAGAGCAATCGGAACAGGCATAAAACTCTTGCTTACCAGGAGTAAATTTGTGCAGCTTCACTGGAACCAGTGATTATATGACAATGGACTCATACATGTATGCATGTGTTTGTACATTTGTGTGAATCTTTCAGCTTTTTATTCACCTTGTGCAGGAATCATAGCTGAAGACAGTGCATATTCTGCTAGGGCTGAACAGGGTATGTGTTTTGTTACAGATTGTGAGGTTGTGGGATTCTTGCCAAAATAAGACCAAATCCCTGTAATTTCAGGATGCTTCGAAAATAATTTATTTGAGATATTTTATTTTGGAAAAATATTTACATTCAGTTTTGCTTCTTGCTACTACTTTTGTGTTATCTTTTTACAGAAAAATGCAAAATAACACTCTAAGGAAGTATCTGAAAAAAGGTAAAATCTTGCCCTTAATATGTCAAAAGGGCATCTAGAACATTAACTTTTCTTTAAAATCTTCCCTACTGCTGATTCTTTAACTTCTTACAGAAAAAAAACTAATGCAGAAAGTTTGTCCAACAGACAGAAAATTCAAAATTATATATCCTCAAATGTAATTTGGAACTAGCTTTAGTTCAGTGCTTTTACATAAAATTTTACACATTGTGCATACAAGATATTAACAATACCTTTACAGATGAATCTCAGATAAAACTGTGCAAATATAGTTTGAATAGATATTAAATGCAATGCAGTGTAATGTATTTTTCCATGTCAAGACGTTCAATAACTGACAAGCTTGCCTAAATCCTACAAAACTCAAGTTTTATGAACAAGGTTAAAACTCTGAAGTAGGAAGCTTGCCTTGTATTTCCCTTGAAGCTGTTTCTACAATTCATAGATTTTAGTACTTGAAGAGATCATCTACTGCCTGATCTTCTGCATTTAGTCTAGTGCTTAAACTGGTAATAGTGAAAAATTGGCATGGAAATATCCTTAGGATTTTAAAGCTATTTTTAAATTGTCTCTGGTATAAATACAGAAAGTGTAATAATAGGTACATTTCTTTAGACCCTTGTGATTACCCCTCCTTATTAAGGCATTAACATCAGTTCCCATGGAGAGCAATTTAAAAATAAATTGCTAATCATTATCATTACTAATGAATGCAATGTTGATTATTATAATGCTAATAACACTAGCATAGTAATGCTAACTTTCAAAGACCTAATTTTGTTCTGCACCATCAGAAATGTTCTTTGCATTTTTCTTGGAACTACTGAAGTGAAACAGAATTTTTGGCCCTGAAATTGAAGGGATTTGGGTCAAGCACCAACTGGTACAGATGTCTTGAGAGGGAAGATTTGAGAAAAACATAATGTATTTTGCTAGACCAACAGCCAGACTTGCAAAAGATCAGACAAACCCCAAAACTGATTTTTTTCAAGTAGGTCTAATAAAATCTGGTCTAATAAAAGTACTACTTCTTCCTACAGATATTTCTCCATTCATGCTATTAGATGATCATTAATATAACTGTCATCATCCCTACTATCAGAAGAGAACTACTATTACTGTCAAGTAGCAGAGGCTCATTTTTGACATTCTGTTCTTGATGATGTCTTTTTCTCCTTTTGTTGTCGCTGTAGTCAGACAGAGTGGAAATGAAGAAATTCTACTACAGTTCTATGAAGTTTCGGGTAAGCAGATGCTGCATTACTGATGTTAATATTGAAGTTCTGGCTGTAGGATTTCACAAGATTTTTGTCATTCACTGAAGATCAGTGTTGGTTTAAGAACATCACCAGAAAGCATTGGCTTGATGGCATGTCAGTGCTCACCAGCTGAAGACTGTCTTCTTCGTAAACAGTGTTTAATTGCAAAACAGAATAATTATATATGTAATTATAAAAATATAATTATGAATAACAATAAATTAATAAAATAGAATTAATAAAATTCTCTGGTTTGATGGATTTGTGCGACATCATCCCTGCACACACTGAAAGACAAAGTCACAGTTTGCCAGAGATTCATTAAATGAAATAAGGAGTCTTGAAGTTAGATGCTAACTGTGTTCACAGAATCACAGAATGGTAGTGGTTGGAAGGGACCTCTGGAGATCACCTGGTCCAACCCCCTTGCTGAAGCATGTTTGCCTACAGCAGGGAATTTTGTCAGTGAACTCATATGTGTGGTACTGAAAAAGTCATCACTCACACAAGTAAACAAAAATTCAGACTAACATTTTTGATGCTCGTTGCACTTTGCAAAAGCTAAGATACATTTGATTTAGGAAAATTTTTCGTTCTTAAATATTGTTTTTGCCGACAGAGGATATATAGTCTGTTGAATTCCTGATACTCATACAGCTCTGTGACACTGAGCCCACACCTCTGAAATCTCAGTTATTGCCCCCCTCCTCTGCTGTTAATACTTTTGCACCTGCCTTGTTTAAGAGTTAAAGTCTCAGGAACTGTGGTATCACTACTTATACACTTGAGGTTAAGCTATCCAAAAGTGCAGGACATACACTGTACAGGCAAGTGAGCTGGACAGAATCAAACATACAGCAAAAGAACTAAGTCGATATGTATGGTTTTATTTTAAGCTCACACTTGCAGTAAGGTTAGTGCTCTTGATTTCTGCAGAAACTAATGAGACTTTAGTGTTCTCACCACATACAAGGTATAGATATAATCTGGGAATTTGTCATATGTTTAAGTACTAATTAACAGTTACTGAAATCAAAGCACTTCTGACTAAATTTTGCCTCCTCTTAGACATGTGTCTGAGAGATGGAGAGAGGCCATAAAAGGCTGTTTGTCCTCAATCATTTATTTGGTATGGTTTCTTTTTTCACCGGGTTCAGGTATTAACTGCATCTTACTTGCATGGAATAAAAGTCAGTGCTGCAGGCTAGCTGCTGCCAACAGAAGATATGGTTCTCAAGGCAAAGCCATTTCTGATTACAGTGAGATGAAGTCTACAGTTCCACATCCCTCATTTTTTCCAAAATTATGTCAGCAACAGAGCAAGGCATCACAAGATCATTAAAAAGGCAAAGCCAAGTTTGCAATAGTATTCCTACTCTCCACAGAATTCTTGGAAAGAAAAAATTAGGCAGATAAGAAGAGAAATCACACAGCTGATGCACTGCAGGGAAATATTGAAAATCTTAGTGATATGGGAAGGACAAGCATACAAATATAACAAAAGACAATATCTATTTAAAAAAAAATCCAAATCTGTCATCCTGTGATGAATGTGTTGTTCGGCACACATAGCTTCTGCAGGTTGCAAGTAAGGAGTCTAATTCATCGTGTTCCCCCAGATTGCTTTAGGCAGCCTGGTTTTACCAGCTGTAGAATTGCTAAGAATTGCTTGTGGAGAGCTGTCCCCATCTCCACTCACCAGCCACAAGCCTACCCTCTTAGTCTTGTCAGAACCGCAATTGAAATAACAGAATGCATTAGTATTCAAATATCTGAGATACTGTTAATAATCCCCATGAAACAGATGAAAACCTCAGGCACAGGGGAGTTAAAAGCAGGGCAGAGCGAAGCTGTTGGTGTTTTCAAAGAGATAATCTTGCCTGCCAGTACTTTGGAAGTTATGGGCTTAGCAGGCTGAATGTTCAAATATTATATTCAATCATGATTCAATCTAAGTAGGTTTTTGACAGCAAGTAAATGCATTGTGATTATTGTGAAGTTTAAATTGACCTCTATGCTCTTCAACAGCTCGATGTGATATCAGTATTGCCGTTTGAAGTTTTGTACTTCTTCTTCGGATTTAACCCAGCTTTTAGAGCAAATAGGATGCTAAAGGTAAGATCTGTGTTAGTGATGGATAGCTAACCACACATAAATGCTTTTACAGCCCAATTTGTAATATTTAGGAATATGAAATTTAGAAACTGGAAAAAATCTTCAAGATAAGCTACAACAATAGTAAAAAAAACAACAGAAAATACAAGATATAATCTAGCCAAATGAAGCCCTTATTGTCTTATTTTTCTTCTTCCTTTATTATTTCCTACTTTCAAAGGTATTTAATGATTAAAGATGGTTAGTATCCATTATTTAAATTAGATTTATTTTACAAAGTAAAAAAAAATTAAGATCACTAATGAATGCCAATGTATTTTACCCTTCTGTTACTAATGTCAGATGCTTAAAAGCAAGGGAGGGAATTTTAAGGACAACATAAACTATACACAGAATATTTAACAAGCATAAACCCACTTCTGTTATCGAGACCAAAGACATCTGGAGATGTGCAATGAAGGGGATGAGGAGGGATTAGAGAGCAGCCCTCTCCCTGCATTTCATGGTACCTAGCAGGCCACTCTGTGGCTAAACAAGTTTCCCTTCACACAAGCAATATATCAACAAAGAATTTGCTTTCATTTAAAGTTGGAGAGGGAATAAGAACTCTAAGAATACAATGAGGGTGCTCTTCATTTCAGTTTTCAATAAAACTTAAAAATTCCACAAATCAGAACCAAAACAGTATGAAAGAACGAAAAGATACACACTACCTCATATTAGGCAAACAGACATGTACTGAACAAAAATAAAGAAAAAAGTGACATGCGAATATTTAGGGCTATCACTAAAGGTAAACTACAAATAATTGACAGGAGGAATTCAATACAGCAGCAATTGTTCCTATGCAGTATTATGTAGTATATGGTTGTTGATACATATGACCATTTACTGAGAATTACTGGAATTTCAGAAGGAGTAAAAAGTGATTTTTATGTGTAATTCTCTCTGACAAAGTTGCCCAAGCAATTATTCTTGTTCGAGGGAGTAGAAGTCATTTATCTGCAGCAGTCTGACCTGAACAGCAAGATTATTTCTGTAATCAGATTAACATCCCAAACAGTGTTTAACTCAGTTCTCACCTTTGCTTTGCAATTCTCTTTTTAGTTAAACGTTTAAAGAAAGTCAGACTACCAAAAAATCCATTATTTTCAAAATGTGTATGTGAACTAATGTCTGTGCACCAGAAATCTTTAAAAAAATGTGCAGTGAGGAATAGCGATTGGTTTACTTTCATTTGTTTTCCATTCAGCATAACACCTTCTTTGAGTTTAATGATCGTTTGGAAGCTATCCTGGACAAAGCATACATCTACAGGTATGTGCTTATTAAACTCTTGTAGCATGCAAAGCTTGGCATAGAATGGATTTCATTTGATTTCATGACTTATCAGTGAAGCACCAGATGGAATATGATACATCTTTAACTGTGCAATTTAAGCTTTTTTTTAAATATCTATCTTTATGGTAATTATTAAAATATTAAATGTAAAGCTTCACTCACATACAAAATCTAGTTCAGCTCAGCTGGCCTGGTTCAGGCAAAACATTAAGCAAACTGAGGATCATGACAAAATTTAGCTGATCAGAATTATCAGCAGTTTCTTTAGTGAAAGAGCTACACAATGGTTTCTTTAGGTTCCTGATAGCAGTGCCTCAGTAGCTGTTTATTTATATTTAATAAGAGTCATGAGCTTAAGCTTGTGTCAACATTATCCTTCAAATACGCTCTCACCATGAAACTGGCATATACAGAAACTTGATCCTCCACTACATGGATTAGACTTGGAATGAGAATCAATTCAGCACAGATGTCAAACAGTGATTATAACTGTTGCCCGCTGCACTATAGTCTCACCTTCTGCATTGACTGGAATAATACTGGAACCAACTCAAGCAGAATAATACTGGAACCAACTCAAGCAGTCCGTGCACACGGGTATGGCAAGTTTCACAGGCCCCTCAGCAGTAAATGTGAGTGATGCTCGATGAACTCTACTGTGCCACCATTGTTACTGCCTACTGTCTGTGCCATCAGCCGTAGTTCATCCTGTGCAATTCCTATAGTGACTATTTTTTTCCCCCTGCCCCAGTTTTGGAGCATGTATGGTTCCTATGTGCTGCTGCAGCAGAAATACAATTAAGCAGAAATAATGTTGTTTACCATCTTTTTCTGTTTCAGAGATTATTGCACAGAAATGGTAGACTTGGTATTTATGCATTGCAAATGAGGTATTTTATGTGATTTAGAAACTAGTTAATTTGAAAAGGCATTTGAAACATCATCTGTTTCATATTTTACTGTACCTGAAAAATAAAAAAAAAAAAAATCTGAAGTTTGAAAGATCTGCTAAAGCATTTTTGAGATGCTGACCTCCACAAAGCTTATTCTAATGTTGCCCTCTCCTTCCATTTATTGAAGAGTCTTTTTTGGTTTGGGTTTCTTTAATTCTTTTAAATTCTTCTTGGTACAAGAGAAGGCTTGTCCCAGTTTCCACAAGAGGAAGAATTTGCTTTTCATTTTCTGAATCACTACCTCCCTATCTTCTCCAATTTCTGATCTCATTAAAAAGAATGAGTTTTCATATCTCTTGATTACATTTTTAAATTTTTCCAATGTTGAAAACTTTAAAAATAAATTAATTATTTTCTATATTACTTCCTTTGTTTTTCAACGACTTTTCTGTATCTCCTACAATATTTGCAATGAGTACTGGGAGATATGGATTGTTAATAGAGATGGTTTTGAACTAAGTAATTAGCTTGCATGTAACTGTAATGTAGTGTATGTATATGGCTTTCAAGGAAATGGAAACAAATTAGCAAACCCATTTTCACCCAAATAGGCAATTTTGCAAGGGATACAGTTTCACACCATGTAAAAGTATGGAATGGGAAGTGGTTGTTTAAAGGGCAATTTGGGAACGAGATGTGTATATCTACAAAATACCCTGACTTTGAAGGCTGTGATGTTGATTTGTGTGTCAAAAAACAGAGCAGGTGCTCATTCAGAAATGCTGAGAGGCACACAGCAAGATCTCACTGGTCCTGTAAAATGTATGAAGTAGCTGGAAAGATAGAGACAGTTACTCTGCAAAGTTGTTCTGCCTTTTTAATTTAGACAGTTTCGTAGCATGGTACTGGTCAAGTGCCATGACTGTGTGTTGATGCTTGTGTCATCCTGATCACAGGCCCACTTACATTTTCCAGTATTAAATCACTTACAGAATATAAACTGCAGAATGTAAATATTGCAAATTGAATCCATTTTCTACCTCATATTCTTAAGGGACCAGAAACCTGAAATGTGTGAAACAGAGCATTCTTCAGAAAAAAAATGCAATTTTAACATAGTGTTAACAGTATTGACACTTTATTATCTATAGGCTTTCCCATCAGTGCGTTGCTGAGTTCTGTGGTAGAAAAAAAATACCTAAATTTTCATAAAAACATACACTCAGTTACTATGCACTGCAAACTGCATTGAATTCTAGCTGTAGCAGATAAACTTGGTATGTACCAACCTCTCTGTGTTTAGGCAAGTCCTGTACTTTTCCTCCTTATTTATGCCTTGCCTGTCTGAAAATTGACAGCTAAATCCAGGAGATCTTTCTTTTGAGGCCCGTGCACTGAACAGAGGATAAACAATGAGATCATTCTTGCATTAAACAGAAAGCTGCTCGGTTCTTAAGTAATTCATCATTGGTGTTCTTCAAAGAACTGGCCATAAGCATAAGAACGGGGATTAGGAATGGTATAACTCCTGCTGTAGTCACTAAATCATACTCTTGAGTGGATCTACTGCAGGCTTCCTAACACAGCTTTTTATAAAGGAGTTAATTTCTGACCTCAGACATTTCTTGGCTTTGGTTCACAAGTTTAGAGTCTATCTTGAACAGTCTGGCAAACACATTAACCCTCTAGCCTCATTAATACAGCTTCAAATCTCTGTACATATTCATAGTCAATTAAAGAAGTGGATTATAAAGTCCTTAGGGAACCGTAATTTAAAAATTACTCTGTGTCAAGTATTCTAGGGAAGATATTTATTTGACCTTGGACAGGTTACTGCCAGCTATTTTTTCCACAGAGTCAGTACAGGTGGGGAACTGCTTAGTGGATGCTCAATATAAGCACTGTTTATCCAAAATAGCAGTGGGTTCCATATTAAAAGGAAGGAAAAATAAGTTGCTTTACAGGAATCTGTTGACTTTTACAGGGTCATTCGAACAACTGGATACTTGCTGTTTATCTTGCACCTTAATGCATGCCTGTATTATTGGGCTTCAGACTATGAAGGACTTGGCAGCACTAGATGGGTATACGATGGCAAAGGAAACATGTAAGTCCTTTTCTCTTGCAAGACATTTTTGTTATTTTGCTGCTTTCTGCATCCCCCTCCTTTTCCCATGCCTTTGCTTGCAGGGTATGCCCTTACTTTACAAGTGCTAGGATAGCAAACTTTTAGTACCATGACTGCTGATTAGCAGCTTTCATTACTAACACGTATTTGAAGCACAGGTGCAGTGAATAAGCAGTTCACCACTTTCAGCTTTTATAGGTTTATGAGTCAGTGTTAAGCTGTATCTTAATTAAACATTAGAAAGCAACAAGGGTCATAAATTAAACTTACTGATTGCATATGCACATGCGAACTGTTGGACGGATTGCAGAACATTCCCTCAAAGGAATCAGAGGCACGGATTTTTTTTCTGCCACACGGCATTGTGTCATTAAAATGCTAAAGTTTAGTCCCTCTAAACACCATGGTGATTGGTCTGAAAACATTCCACCCATTTTCTCAAATCTTTTGAGAAGGTCATACTTAAACTTGTGGCAGAGTGTCTCCAGTGTGAGAAATGGACATTGACACACTTTTCCACAAACTCCTTGTGACAGCAACAGCTGGGTGCCAGGTAAGACACAGTCTTTAAGATGAGGGAGAGGGAACAAGAGAAAACAGCAAAATCATATTATATTTTGTGCGTAGTTATATAAAAACATATCTAGTAGGTTCAGATGTATGAACATTCATTTCTTTCAAAGGCCATAATTTAGTTAAAGTTACAGAAGCTCAATTTATTCATTAATTACATTCTTTGCAAAACTGCATATAATGTATTACTGCTGTCATAAATCACCCTTTAAATGACTTTTCACAATTCACTTGGAAACATGCTCCTCTTGCTTGTAATTTTGTCAGACTTCACGAGTTTTGTGTGAAGTCGCTATCTTGAACGGTAACAAAATAGCCTTTGAGAGTACACTTTGTGTAAAGCGGAATTGAGTCATTATAATTAGGGTTCTCTCTCAAAAAAATGACATGGCTGAAGTTTCCACACATCACTAAACTACACAGCTGGAGTACTGCAGTCAGACATGTGCAAGCAGGCTCCTGGACCTCTGTGGAAACAGTTAAGTAAGTGAAGTTATTCACAGGTACTTATTTGCAGGATCAAGGCTTTCAGAAATCTGACAAGAAAATGTAGAACAAATTTCCGTTATAGCTATTTCTGTTAATGTCATTCTTGGGAATACTTGCCTCATAATTAAAAAATAAGACTGCGCAACCGGAAAACTCTGAAAGTAGAGCACTTACTCAGTCTTCAAGGTTTTAATATTTCTTCAGAACAGACTAAAGAACAGGCAAGAAAGTCTTCCTGTTTTTCACAGACAAGAAAATTTTACATTCACTCAGGGAAACAATCAGTAGAAATTCTTTTCTAGCTTGATCACAGACAATGCAGTTGTGCTCAGAGGCAACAGTCAGGTTTTTTAATATTTGGGGATATTTTTTCCATAAGGAGACAAAAGCACTTCTCAAATGATGTCACGCTGAAATCACACGGGATTTAGGGCAGAATTTTTTATAAAGAAAACAATAATAATCAACTGATTGTTCAAGGTCTGCATTAAACTGAGATGCTGAAATAAAATACGTATTAAAACACATCCATTTAAGCATCATTAAGCCATTAATCTACTTCATCTTGGCATTGGCTGGTGAATGTATGACTTTATTCTTTTGCCTGTATCTAACTCATACTGGATTATACGGTCCCATGTACATGGAACCCCACAGAGTATCCCTTGTTGAGCTGCATTCCATAAAGTCTAGCTTGGTATCCCACTAACAGCAAACGCCTTCTATATGGGATAGTCATCGCCTTAGAGAATCAGGCATGACATATTATCTGATTGTCGAATGTTTTGGGATTTTTGACAGGGAGGCATTGTGTGAACAGGAGTTCTTATTGGAGATGCAAAGTGAATTTAGACATATCAGACAAGATACTTCTAGGTATATTTATTTCTCTGGAAAGCAGCAATTAAGAACAATCTGAGAAAAATCTGTCAGAAAAAGTGACCAGAGCTGCAGTACACATTATGGCACAAGAGTGCAGATATAATTTGCTTTCACACAGCAGACAGAGTTGCCAATCAAAATAAGTCTTTGGTCTCACATAGAATGGGAACAGATTCAGAAAGAAGATAAGACAAACATAGCTTCTTAGCTAACTAAAAAAATGACAGTAAGCAGTTTGACAAATAAATCAAAATTCTAGTGGGCTCAGATTACACTGATGCAAAGCAAATGATCTGGCAATGATTTGGTGGCATGAATGTTTTATGCAGCATCCCTGCTGGGTCTGTAAAATGTTGATAGCTATGGCCAAAACTGTTCTTAAAAATATCAAAACTCCTAGGATCTTTTTTTTTTTTCCTTTCCAGGCTAAAACCAGTACACAGACAATGGCTTCTCTTATCAATTTGGTTACATATGTTCCTGAGAAGGCATACTAACTGATGAACTTCAGTTTATGACAAACAGCTGTACACAGCACTCAAACCACAAGCAAAATTTTCAAAGTAGCTCTTCTTGCAAATTTCTGCTAGCTGTATTCTTTTCTAGCTCATGTCCATACTCTAAAGTGGTAGTGCCATTCCAACAAGATTTGAGGTCTTTGGCATTGCAGCCTTCAGTCAAAGCCTATGACCTGAGGTGCAAAAGGCGGTCAACTTTACCCCCTTGAAATGCACCCAAATTGGGCACACAAGGTGTTCCCAGCATTAAAACTGCACTGATGAGCTTGGTGTAATTAAGCAGACAGACCTCAGTCTCTCCTAATGAAGAAGGATGTTATCCCTGATGCAAGACCGTAGTGTAGAGCCTATGTAACCATGGCAGCAGGATATTGAACAGGTCTCTTAATCATAGCTAAGTGAACAATTTGAACTATATGTGTTTATTTGCAATCTAATTTAACGACCTAAGTAAGAGATTGGTCTCCCTAATTCCTCAGGAAAATGGCCAAATCCTCTAGAAAGCGATTCAAGGCAGGAACATAATGTTGTTCTGAATTGTTCCATGGAAGCATCTGTGCTCTTTCAGCACTGCCTATAATGGAAGCTAAAACTAGGGAGCTGAAATTCCGATGCAAACCCCCCAGGTCATCATTAAATTTAGGCAAAACAAATCATTCCACTTTGCTCATGGTATATTTCTTCTGTTGTTTGCAAATCATCCACAAGTAGTCTGCAAAATTCTCTGTCATATTTATTAATCAAAACACCTATTTGCATCCTAATGATGTTTCTGTATAGCTTGCTGCTTTCCCACTCCGGACACAGACTTAGTGGATATCTGGAAGTCCCAGAAAATGATCACTGTACTTGTCTAGAACAGCTCTACTTCTTTCGTATGCATTGCCCAATGTACAGTAAGACTGGCATATCTCAAAAGGTGTCTCCTGGGTATCAGCTATACATCGCGCTTGCAACAGGTCTGATGTGTCCCCTCGCAGTGCTTCCTGTACAGAAGCAGTTCTGTGCCTCCAGACAATCTGTGAATGTGCAGCCCAACCCAAGTATGTCAGACTTCACGCTTTCAGACCTACTACTTGCAGCCATACTTTTTAGATAAAAGCTTTGTAGTTTGCACAGTCCTGTCTGAGATCATCATACCCACAGCCACCTGATGAATAAGTCAGGAAGAAGAGGTACCAAGAAGGAGGTCATTAGAGTACCCAATAATAAAGGCCTCTTCTTTACTCTGCTTAAACCCATCCTGGTGGTAATCTGAGAGGAGTCAGATGTGCTAGCCCCAAAATCACGCTTCACTGGGCCGACATGAATATGTGAGTACCACCTTAAAATTTGATAGCCACATGCACAAAGATTTGATTTATCTGTAGGAACCAAAACCATGTAAGAAGTTTAGCATACTTTGAAATGGAGTTTTATGAATGAGATATGTCTATTGGCATAATATTACAAAGTATCTTATTTGCAGTGTTTCTGAATGTTTTTCTACCTAGGAGTTATTTTAGGGAAAAATCTAGTAGTTTGATTGCCTGAAGGATAAACACACTCTCTATGTTGTGCAGAGGGAAAATCCCTTTCTTGTCTCATGTTGTTTCCTTCTAACTGTAATTTTATAGCAGGCTAGCAAGCCGTATGGTGAGCAATGATGGTTTCCAGACACTAGCTAGTAGGAAGCAGAGCTGCTAATACAGTTGAAATAGGAGTCTGTTTTTTCTGGCTCTCCTTAAACAAAATTTACAATCTCATTTCTCCCCTTCTTAGGGAAGAAAGCTGCTTTATATTTCCACTGTGTACCTTTCATTTCAGACTAAAATAAAAACAATAAATTGCACAAATGGAGAAAATATAAAACCTGTGCCTAAGAGATAGTGAATATCATGTGACTTTGCCAGTAGAAAGCTTCTTTTGAAATAAAATTACTGAAAAATATTATGTATTAACTACATCTTCAGAAAAGGGTGGGCAGATCAGAAAGAAATCTCTCACATTTTGGATACACAACACTGCAAAGAAGGCGACCCCTGAATTGCTCTGAGGAGCTGCTTTCATTCTTTGTAGACATTCCCAGAATTAAGATTATATTGTCTGTCATGGTGCACTTAGAAATCTTGGCATCCAAGAGGTGAGGGAGTTGCCTAATTACTTTCACTTCCTATAGTAACTAGCACAGAGGTAATGTAAATTACTTTTATATTCATAAATTATATATGTTTCAAGCACTACAGCATTCTCAGTTAGTGCAAATGAAGATGATATTAATATGCTTTCTATTATAATTCCCCTCAGACAAGCTAGAGATATCATTTTATGCTTAAATCTGCAATTCTTGCAAAACATCTGAGGCTTTTTCTTACTATTTATTTCTGTTACAGAAGTCTAAGAGAAAGTGGACACTTGTACATACTTTGCTGGAAGCATGCATAGATGATGATTTTTTTGAATCCAAGTGAGAATATAATAGTGGTGTAATCCAGCTGTTCGTTTTGCACCCCTAACAAGGAAAAATGATATGATGGCAGATCTGAAATGAATTTTTTGATTTAAGGACTCTGAATGAAAACAGCCGGTTCTGGATTTTAAAATAAAAAACTAGAAAATTATGGTAAAAGTGATCATTGAACAAAGAAAAAAGTGACTTTGTAATGAAAAACAAAAATTGATTGCTTGGTAAAGCCTGACAATTTAGGTGAAAGGCTTTGAAACACATTTGAGTGATTTAAATAAAAACCCTCATTGGAATTGATCACTATTGTGAATTTATTTTCTCATATTTGCACAAAACTGACCCTCTAATTGTATTGTTACATGGACCATTTATTAATAGGAGTGGAGTTCATACCTTAGTAAAAGAAGAGCTTTTAAGTGGAGGCCACCAAATAAAAATGTACATCTGAAGTGTGCAAGCAGATCTCACGGCCTCAGATTCAGGGTATAAGAAGCTGCATGCAAGACTCTCTATTTCAAAACAAATATCTCCAAATTTTTTCTTTGGGTTTTTTTTTATGTCAAACTCAATAAAATTCAACAAATAGAAGGAATCTTTATTGCTTCAGAAGTAATAGTCACTGATTAAATCATTAAAAATCTCATTGTACAAATAAGGAAAATGGACTTCCTTTCCTAATCATTAGAGAACCTGAAATCTGATTGTACAGAGACTTAGGAGTCAAATTCTGATTAATAGGGGGCCTTTGAAAATGCTCCTAAACCAATTACTTATTAGCTCAAATAGAAAGAAATGATAGCACATTCAGGACAATGATTTGAACTAGTTCATCCCCGCTGCACAGGATGGGGGATGCTACATTACTAGTGCTGTCATGTTCTAGAATAAAATTTAAGACAGAAGCTTAGAGATGTGAAGGCGCTTCATATATATATGAAAGAGAGTTACTACAACTGTCCTCAAAAAATAACACAAAATGTTTGGACTTGATGATCTTAGAGGTCTTTTCCAACCTATGATTCTATGAAAATTCTGTACAGGTCCTTTGTCATTTTGATATACTTGTGCTATCATCCTAATAGAAATACACGGCTTGAATGCAATGTATTCTGTCATGCACAAGGGTGTGCAAAGCAGGCTGTACAGACAGAACCACAATTATTTGGCCAAAGAGCTCACGGTTCAGGTATGAGAAGTAAGAAACAGCAGGTGTATACGGGGAAGGAGTCCATATAAGCCACATGTTGAAGAAGAGTCTTAGTGACTGACTACTGCTCACTGCTATGTTTGGCTTCTAGATCAAGAGAGTTCTGAGAAAAGTCTTCAAGGGTGTTAACAAGGTGGTTTTGTAGCCATTGACAGACAGGTCTTCCCAAGCATGAGGGAAAGTAATGAAGAAGGCAAGACAATGTTTGTTAAGGTGGCAGAAGGGGTAGTGGAAGCCTGCCACTAAGAGAAGTTAATGCAGGATTCAACCCTTCAGTGCAGAATAAGTGAAGTGGTTTGGAGAAGCTGGATTAACATGCAGATTGTGAAAACCTGTAACTTTTGTTTGACATAACCCAGGAGGCAGAGCCAACGAAGGGTGCTGAGACAGAGTGGGAGGAAGACCAATGTGGTTAGAGGTAGGAAAATGAGCGGGCATGACAAAGACAGCACTACATTTGTTGGGCCCACCATAAGACTTCACACTGGTGTCATCAAGTGAATCCATGGAAGAGAGCTTCAGATGTGTGTGCATCTAATATGTTACAGATAAACTCTGCAAAGTCTCTAACTTTTACGCTGCTTTTAACACGATGGCATCTTCACTGGTAGCACTCTAACGCTGTAAAGTCCACCCTGGCCATTTGTTACAGAAGTCTACTGTAATGCTGCACAGAGTTACTGGAGAACAGTAAGTAACCATTGCATTTCCCGTATATTCTTACTTTGCTGTCAGTTGAGAACATTCAAATCAGTATGATTCACATAACTGTATCATTTGTACAATCGTAACCCTTTATAAAAAATAGTGAAGGTCTTTTGGACTGAAAGGCATCACTGAAAGGCCCAAATCAGGAAGGTAAATGCTTAACTTTAATCAATCACATAAGTACCTATAGCCAATAACAAAAATCATGTCTGTATCCACAGGTATCTGAGGTGTTACTACTGGGCAGTTCGTACTTTAATCACTATCGGTGGCCTTCCAGAACCACAAACCCTGTTTGAGATAATTTTTCAACTCCTGAATTTTTTCTTGGGTGTCTTTGTCTTCTCCAGCTTAATTGGACAGGTACATAAAGAAATCAGTAACCAGATTAGTTCAAATTACTGTAATGTAGTGATAATATATGCTATTTAATGAAGTTTAGTTCTGGGAAAAAGTTTAGGTTCCATCTGGATGTCCCTCTATTTAACTGTCGTCTGTGCTAATTCTCCTGACAAATACATGTATTTAATCAGTTCCCAGTTTTGTAGCCCTTTTGCGCACAAGCTGATTTAAAGCCAAGAATCTGCAAGATGTGAATGATTCTTGAAACTGTGTATAATTCCTTTTTTCTTCCTCACAGCCAAGAAGACAGGTCCTTAACATTCACACTATACCACTAAATCTGATATAAAAATTATACTTGTGGGCATGATATTAACATGTACAAATTATTGAAGAAGTCATGCTTGATGCTACTGCCAATAGAATGCTATTAATGCAAATCCCATGATTTTTGTCAAACTTGTGTTCTGCTCTCTTCCATAAATTACAATATAGATGTTAACCTGAAGATCAAGTGTTTTCTATTTCTCTTCATTCTCATTTGGCAGGAGGAAAAAAAGAAAAAGCCCATAGTGCAGCAAATCAGTTGTATTTCCAAATGAATATAACCGAAATATTTCTTGCTTGTAACTGTTAAACTTGGGCTTTACATCCATAGGTTTTAAAATACCTTGCCTACAGACAAACAAATGCCATAGTTCCTATTTAAGACTGTGTCTTCTTATATTCCAGACCTTTTGATTTGTACATGTCTGTTATTGGAAGAATTTTGCTTAAAAAAAAAAAGATGAAAACTGAATTTAATTTTTGTTTTGAATACAGAATTCAAAAAGTTCAATCAAACAGCTAAAAACTGCATGTCTTGCTGTTTCGAAGTGCGAGAATCGTCACAAAACAGGCTCTTGCCTATAGGATTTAAAAATCATCCACAAAAAAGAATTACAAAAAATAAAACAAAGTAGCTCATACAAAATATTTCTTTTGGAGAACTATTGAGTTCAAGTATATTGGATTAACCTTCAGAGTTTGCATATTTATAGTTTTTTCCTAAACTGGTATGTCAATGAAAGCACCATTCCTGAAGAGGATTCTGCAGATTAGTTTTTGTAACTTGCATAGTCATTTGCAGATTCAAACCTTAAATCTTAACACAAACACCTTCATTGCAATTTGTTAAAACTCCTGTTTACAAAGAGCTCTTAAAAATATGGAGTTATTCCTAGTTTAGCACACTTGTCTAAAAATCATTATTCCTACTTCAATCAACTGCACCTCTGTAATGAAGAGCAGGATTCAGCTCACTGGCATACTAATCCTTGGCCACTGCAATAAGAAGCTGTTTGACTAAAAACATGCCTACATAGTTACGCTTTTGAAGAAGGAATATCTATGAACATTAACTCGTCCACTTTCTAGTAACTAAATTACATTTGTGTTGGAATGTTAAATGATGTTCCTGCACTAAAATCTTCAAGAACAACTTTCAGCCCAAATCGCATTCTTAGAACTTCTCTAGATTTAATTCACTATTTAAACAGTGGCAGGATCTTTATTCCAGTGGTGCCAGTGGATCTTATTAGAGAAATTTAGCCCAGTTTGCTTCACTTCTGAGTTGCATTGCACACCAAACGCAGGGTAGCTTTATTATGGATTTTTAAGAAAAGCATTATCTATATTTTTCATCCACGTCCAAAAATATAAGACAGATGAACAAGCTAAAAACTCACAAACGATTGCTTTAAAATCATAAATGTAGACTTTCCAACACAACTAGATGAAGTCTGTAATTCTTCTGAAAGAGCACATGAAGCACCTATTCAAAACATGAAGCTGAATGTAAAATTAATCAGTGATGTTGCAAACAAGTGTTGCATTCTTTTTATATGTTGTTGACAATATATTTAAATCAAGACTATTTCTACTGAAATACGTAGTAACTACTGATGTTTGCAGATGAGAGATGTAATTGGAGCAGCTACAGCAGGCCAGAACTACTACCGTTCCTGTATGGACAACACTGTCTCCTATATGAACACTTACTCTATTCCAAAAGGGGTTCAAAATCGTGTTCGAACCTGGTATGAATACACGTGGGACTCTCAGGGAATGCTGGGTAAGGCTTTCCAATTCCAGTTACATAGCACCTCCAAGGGAGAGTGGTTGTATATATAGAGATATAAGGTGAAATTCACATTTCTTCTGTTCTGAATTGCATGCGAGAAGTAAGGAGGACATTCAATTTACTTTAGAAAAGACAAAAACTCCAAAGCAATATGACTCTTACTATTTCACAAATTCTGTTAATTTAAATAATGTTCTGGTTATAACTTTAGACAGGATATGTAACTCAAAAGACGGTATCTTAGTAAAAGCATATTAGCAGCTTCCTCATTTGAACTCATGAACTCTAGAATAGCTCCACTAAGTTATTTTTCTGTACAATGCTCATTTTTATGGACATTCTTCCATTCTTCCTTTATACATTCTAACTAACAGAGTTTGCTTTTTTTGTTCTTTTGCAGATGAATCAGAATTACTGGAGCAGATGCCCACCAAAATGCAATTAGCCATTGCAATAGATGTGAACTTTGCCATTGTCAATAAAGTTGACTTATTCAAAGCAAGTAGTTTTACAGGAGAATGCAGAAATGTGTGGTATTCCTGAGACAGAAACCTTGTTTTGTGCATCTTGCAACACTTAAGAACATGTTTGTTAATATGCAAGGCAAAACAGGTCTAAGAAATATTTCAGGCAATGAAGACATGTCAGGACAAAGCCAAGTGCCTGCCTTTGAATTTTTTCTGTCAAAGCAGAGATTAAAAAAACAAAACAAAGGAAATCAGATTAAGACACAGTCCTGTTGTATAGACATATTAAAACTGGTCAGACTGTGATTTCAGAGTATAACTAATCTCAAGATTCAGACACAGAAGAATGTAATTTTTAATATTGTTCACCCTGCCTTGCTGTGTATCGTCCAGCACTGCCTGAGATACCACTAATGCTAGGTGTTTTGGCAACATAACTTTGATGTAGCAGAAGCTACTTCTTAGTAACTTTTTGTGTATAGGAGCTTTCTCTTTGGTACCAAGATAATTTTCCAGAGACACAATTTAAATGTGGTACTTAAGAATGGATTTTTGACAACAAAACCAAGGAGACACTACATTTTTAGAAGTAGTCTCGACGTACAGTAACCTTAACACTAATAGGTTTGTAAGGTTAATTGCAAAAAAATCATGTAATATCTCTGTATAAACATTACATATCTTCACGTTTTCCACCACTTTTGCTGAAGACATGGGGTTCACAGATTCATATCAATATTTGACATGATCTGAGGTTTTTTTTTCCCCCTGGATGAATAAAAAAAAAAAAATTGCATAAGAGACCCATCAAGCTGCGAACATAGCATTCACTGAGCTTCCACGACAAATTTTGATCTACAGAAGATTACTTTGCAAAAAATTAAGAGATGTTCAACCTAAAGGGAACTTTATAACTACCCAAAACGACAATTCTTTCAGTCTTTTCTCTGCTCTAAAAGCTGATCCTTACGACAGTTTCAGTTTGCATTCCACTTATGAATCGCTGGATCATTCATGTGTTGTTGGGTTTTGCTGCCCAGTATAAACACTAATAATCACTTGTGTTACTGGATTAATAGAGCAACCAATTCTAACTATTTTAACAGGGATGTGATACCCAGATGATATACGACATGCTGCTAAGGTTGAAATCCATTGTGTATTTACCTGGTGACTTTGTCTGCAAAAAGGTGAGCATTGCTGTCTCTTCGAAATAATAATTATGGCATGCTTTTTAGAAAAAGAGTTCAGATATGGGTCAACAGTGTCATTTAAATAAAATTAATCCTGAGTGAATTAGATAGCATAAAAGTAATTAAGGTATTCTGTGTAATAATAACAAATGTGCTTTCAAGTTTCAACTTAGAACAAGACAACATGGACTTTATTACATTATCAAAACCAAAATAACAGTAATATGGGAAAGTACTTACTGTAAATCTGGCTTATCTAATGATACATCATGAAGTTTTACAATTTAAAATGGAGTAAGCTTAATTTTTTTATACATATATACATACGAATTCAGCCTGCAGATCTCAATCTATGATGCTTTGCCTGGGCTTCATTTGTGTCTCCAGAAACTCTTAAGTGGAGTTATCCAAGAATGTAGAAAATACACTGCATCCCATGTCACTCCCTACAGCACTCCCTCCAAGAGTTAAGCATATGATCTTCTTCCTGAATGCTGAGTTAGTCCCACTGACTCCACGCTGTAGGAAGGTAAACATTTGTGAATGAACTGAAGGATCTGGTGCATCCCTTCGAAGACCAGTCCCAGAATTACCATTGTCTAGGAAGGGTGGAAGAATAATTTGATGTGTTTGCTTGTACAGTGCACAGCATGAAAGGATCTTAGACTGCAGCTGGGACTCATCTCAACAGAGATAACAAAATGACAGTAACAGCTTCAAGTTCTTGATCTTGTAGTCAAATACAAACTATTCTCAAAAAGCATGGATTACAAGAAATTGAAGTATTATTTTATTCCAGCTTGATTCGAGCTATAAGGCCACTCACTTGGATACATCTACTATGTGGCCAACAACCACAGTAATCCTATTAATGCTGTAACAAGTAGTAGGGAATAAAAGGTTTCTGTTGGAACTGCCTCCTCCTTGGGTGTATGTTGGCCTCTTCGCACTTTACCAAGGCGGCTCCGACACGCAGGCTTGGAGGTGCAAGTGAAGGGATAGGAAGTGCAAGTCCTACATTTTCAGTTCTGACTGTTGCTGTTGCCTTTTCACTTTTAAGATAAAATTGCAGCTTTGCCTCAGTTACTCCAGCTGCATGAGCAGAAAAAAAATCTTTGCCTGTCTTATTGAAATGTTGTGATAACTGTTACAATCACATTTGTGAAGTCCCTTATGTTACTCCAGGTTGCCTGCTTTTTAATGTGTATACTGATGTCACGCTTTGAATCCTAGTAGATCATACAAAGCATAATAAATAAAGTAATAATCTCTTAAAGTATTCAATGATTACATAAAAGTAGACAAAGTTTTGAATGATTATTTTTCTTATTTTCCTTCTAATTAGCTAAATGGTGACTAGAAATTATAGTGTAAAAACTGAAGCTTTTTAGACCATGAAGCATAGGCTTTTTTGCATTTCTCTGTTATTAAATAGACAGCTGAAGTACTTTAGTTTCCACCAGAACAGTTGATAGAAATGACTGCTACAATCCTGATTATTCTCTAGTCTTCTTCTTCCAAGCTGGCCTAGATGGTCGTACTCCTGTTCAAATATTGTTTCACATCACAACTAGATCTGCCAAAGCCAGTCCTTGTGCTTGTGCTCAGTGCTAGGAAAAGCAGCACAAACATTTCTTTCTCCATAATACCGGTAAATCTGTTTATGAGAAAGTGGAAAGACATTGAAATAACAGTTTGTCAGATTATTCTAACAAAAAACCACTGCCTTGCTAAAACATGGGATCTTTATGTGTTTGTGTGCCCAGGGGGAGATTGGCAGAGAGATGTACATCATTAAACAGGGTGAAGTTCAAGTCCTTGGAGGCCCTGATGGTACAAAAGTCCTGGTTACACTCAGAGCAGGAGCTGTATTTGGGGAGATCAGGTAGGTCCATTGCTATTTTTAACACTTTCTTTACAACTGGTTGAATAACCAGTGGTTGTTTAACTTCTCTGCGGTAAGCACGACAGCTACCATGGGGAGTCTTGAAAGTTGGTAGGACCGACCAAGATGACACTAAGCAAGGAGATGCAGGTAAGTGAAGGAAAATCTAAATGAAACATCAGAGACTAATCTGGCAAGATTTGAGACCAATGTTTTGGGCAAGGTACACAGGGATATACAGATAGATTTCTCCTTGAGCATTTAAAAGATCTAACACATCATCCTGTTTTGATGTCTGCAATACAGCAGGACCATATGCATTTTATTGCCTATATAGTGAGACAAGGTGCCCTTACACAACAGATGGTAAAAAAGATAATTAATTTCCAACAAAGGAGATAAAAAAAATAAAATAGCAAATAAGTCAGGTTCATTTAGCAGCTGAAGTAGTGATTAAGTTACCAAAAATCAGGCATCTACATTTGAAAAAGTATTTGTTTAAGAGTAGACAAAATAAGAAAAAGGCTGACAGACCAGATTTTTGGATAGGAATTTATCTGGAGGAGAAAATTTTTCTCAGGTGGTTACAAATGTCTTTTATATTCTCCATGTAGTTGCTACGCAAAATCCATTAACTCTTACAGGCTGCTTTCCCCAATTAGCCAACCAAGTGCTAGATGTTAGGCACTGCATCCCTTGCTAAGGTTGGCCTGAGGAAAAGTAACAAAATACACGTGCTGCTGCACGTGATAAACTGGATTCTTGATTTCTTCCAGCTGCTTTCCTGTTACTGTTAATCCTCTTGCTGGTAGCTTTAATCTGCCTTTTGAAAAGCGGTAATCAGCTCTGTGCCAGGTTTACATTTATCTTCTACTTGTGACTCCCTTTGTGGTAGGGAAAACGTTTGTGTTTATCCAGTGACGTGTGTACAGAACTTGCTTAGACCTCAAGTGGAAAACATCTGATATATCCCATAGATACAGCCCGTTTTCTTTGAATGGGAAAGTGAAATTATATCAGCTCTTCGAGAGAAGGTTATTTGAAAGGTATTTCTCTGTGTGACTGTATGATACCTGATCAAAGCCTCAAAACAAAGAGCTGTATTCTAGGTTACGTGGAAAGGCTGAGAATGCACTGGTTTTCATCAAGGGCTGAATAATGAAAAGATAAAAGAAAAAGCTACAGCAGCCCAGATATATCACATGTACATAGTTTTCAAATATTTATTATTCTTGTACTTGGAGCAAGGACTTTACTTTTTAAACTGAGAAACTGAGAAATTATAATGATCGGTTTTAAAACAAGGAAGAGGATTTAAAACTTTACATCTAATACAGGTGAGCACTTGTTTCCATGTGAGAACTACACAATGACCTTTAAAGATTCATTTCCCTGTATGTGTTACTCTTCACATAATTGCCAATATGGCCACTAAAACCCTCAGCAATGCTATAACCCCACTCTTCTAGTCTTGTTTTATTCATCCTTGACCTACTGCGGCAGCCTATCAGTTCAGGCGCACATAATTTGCATATAAATGACAGGCAGGGGATAAACCCAAGGAGAAAATACACAGCAACTGGCAGACATCTCCAAAATTGAAGAAAAGTGAAGACATGAAGCACTAAGTGTATCGGTAGAGATTTACCCTCTTCCTTGTGCCGAGGTGTTAGAAAATAATGAGTTTGTATAGCGCCCCTCTATAAAAGTTTTGTCGAAGTCTTCTGAATACTGCATAGCAGAAGCAAAAGAAGAAAATATTATTTAATGGATGAAATACTGCTTCATTTAGCACAACTGAGTTTTTCCGTTGGTATTCACAGTGTGCTTAACACCTTATATCAGACTGATATCCTTGTGATTTCTGATTCAAGATTTGTTTAGAGAAATATCTCAGCTTCATTCCAAGTGGTTTAACTACATGATTTGTAAGACAATTGCTATTTAATCTCACTCTGTTCAAAATGCATGTAAATGATGCTTAAAAAGTCTCTGAGGGCAAAGGAGTTGAAGAAAACAAAAAATGTTTATTTCAGAAAATTTCCCTGAATAATGCTAGAAGGCAAATGCAAACTAATGTTCTAACAAGTCCTTTGCTAATTTCACCCTTGAAAATTATTACAGAAACAGATTAAGTAATAGGAGTTGCCTTCCAATTAACATGTTACCCTCATTACTGCTTTCCTGTATAGATAATATCAGCTTGGGGAACCAAAATAATCTCAGAATCAGAGGCAAACAGATTGCTGCCTTATTGAGAGGCTGTCTGTATAGACAATTGAGAAAGCAAGAAATTCAACTATAACACAACACTTCATTAGCCCAGAGAAGTTTACACTTTTAGCCAGATGTCCTCATTCATCCATTTACTGTTATTTCACTAGAACAATTCCTATCAGAAAATGGTAATTCTGAAAAAATTAAAACATTTCTCCGTTATATGTACATTTTTTGACAGGAAGATCTCTAAATGTTTGGTCTCAGCTTTAGCTTTTCAGCTCTTTTGTTGCTTTATTTTAAAAATCAAAAATAAAGGGAGTATTTAGCTTTGTGAAAGACTGTATTTTCCACTTTGGCCCAGGATTTCCCATGAAGCGGCAGCTGCTGCTTTTCAATGAGCTCTGCCCTTTGGTGTTTGACATCCTGCTCAGAAGCAAGATCCAAACCCATTTCCCTTTCCTGACTTACCAGTTGTCTCCATATGCACTTAAGTGCTGAGCTGAGCCGCCACAACCATGCACATTCAGCTGATACACACACCATTCCCTGGATCAATTAGCTAATTTCAACAAACAGCAGCTTCCTACAGAGATCAGCTATTAAAAAAGAAAGAATAGATAAGCTGTGTCATCACTTTGATAACTTTATACCTTTACACTAAATTTGCTAGCATAAGTATTCGAAAGTCATCATCTCATACTAATATTACAGCATTTCAGGCTAACAGCTGGAGTAAAAGATATAAGGCAAATAAAGAAAAATTCTCTATTATTATAGATATTGCAGTATCAAGCACCATTGTAAGGCAAATGTAGTTATTTTCAGAAATTTGGTCTATCATGTAACTCATAGCACACTAGCCAAACAGATTCAATCATTAAGCCCGTAATTCTGTCCTTAGTCATCCTGTTTGAGCAAGGACTGCCTTACTTGCAAAATTCACCTCACGTCATCACCATAATGAAAAAGCTGATCTCTTTGGTCCTAGTCTGCCTCAATAAAATGAGCTTTCTCTTAGGAAAGCCTGAGAACGATTGTTCAATGTCTTGTTGAGAAGTGATTCATCAGAACTCAAAAGCTGTTTGTAATTTTCTTTAGCTGCTTTTCTTGTTGTGCAAATAGTTTTATTCAATCTGAGGAATCGTACAGAATTGTTTAAAAAGAAGATGATAGTCTGCATTTTCAGCTTGAGTTTATATGTTGATTGCTGTCTCAGGTTTCAGAAAAACACTCTGTGTGTGTGTGTGTGTGTGTGTATGTGTAAAAATAGCCTTGCACACACAGTTGCAGAGGTCTCTTACTATCCCTTATAAATAAAATATAATACATTATCTGTATGATCTAATATTTATAAATATATCTGTACATATATTTAATATTAAAATCAATATTTATATATCCTTGATTAATGTCTTGGATAAGTATTAATTCATGTTTTATGGGGTCCAGACTATTCTTTATTAATAACTTTTAAAATTAGAGATTACTAAATATTCTCTAAAAAAATTAACTCACTGGGAACCTTTTAAGGGACAAATTTTTAGGGTGGATCTTGAATACAGTGACAAAACAATTTTAGTACTAAAAGTAAAATGCAACTTCTCTTGCGTATCATCACAGCTGAGAAGTCTCTTAATTTCATTTGCTTAATGCAAGATGAAAAAGTTAATTTTTATTTGTACAACATCTAATTTTTATGTGGATAACCTTCCTATAGCCAACTGCTACCTGCTAACTGGGTCTAATGCTTTACTTTTGAAACAAAATAGCCTTCTTTTCCTGGCAGACACATTTGTAACTGTCAGCTTTAGAGACCTTCCTAATCCATATCCTTCAACTCGCCAACATTCAAACATGGGATGTGGTATGTGAGAAAACTGAAAACCAGGGTCCCACAGAAGTTCTTCACTCAGGAAAATGCAAATTCTTGGAGAACCATTCATTCATTGTAAATATCACTTTCAATAACAACGGACTTGTGCTGCTCTACTTCTGACGTAAATAATTTTCAACAATAAAATTGAGGAAATGCCAAGTTCACATGAGGACTGAAACAAATGCAGTCCCTGCAGCAGGTGTCTCTTGGGATAAATGTCTCTGTCTAGCAAGGCCTTTTTCAGTCCTTAGCATCTACATATTCCTGACCAGTGGTGACAATTTCCCTTCCTGCCTTTCCAACCCCAACTGCAAAGGGCCTTTACAGAACATCAGATAGAACAGCTGGACGTGAGTGAGCTTTACGGTGACTTTAATGGAGAGCCACCAGAAAATAGATTCCTCACTAGGGCAAGTAATGACGTGACTGATAATGTTTATCTTCATTCCAGCCTATTAGCCGCAAGTGGAGGAAACAGAAGGACTGCCAACGTGGTGGCTCATGGTTTTGCCAACCTTTTCATTCTGGACAAGAAAACACTCAATGAAATCTTGGTGCATTATCCTGACTCAGAAAAACTTCTCATGAAGAAAGCAAAGTATGTCCTAATAACAGTTTCTAAATCACACTATTTAGCTGCAGAATGGCCAGTTGTGGCTTCTGGCAGATTTGCGTTCCTTTCTTGGAAGAGTAACAGATGTAAACACATTTGTATTTAGAGGTCAGATTTGCCTGGTTGTATTTAGTGGAAGCCATGGTCATGGCAGGGGTTCCAAGGCTTGTGGAAATGTGGTAAGTTGAATGAAATCCTGAATGTAGTTGCCTTCTCCATTGTATTTAAAGCAACAAAACAAATAGGAGACAGAGATGCATATCAAGACTTCTTAAATAGTCAAGAAAGAAATTGTAGGGACAGCTGTCAGTTAAGAAGTACATTTTCAAAGATGCACCCAAACACCTGCGATTAATTCTACGGAGATATGCTTCAAGGCACCCACAGATTTGTATGGATTTCCAAAATCTTACACAGTAGTTAGGAATGGATTTAAAGTAAGGCCCGACAAGATGGAAAGACACATATCTGAGAGGTGTGCATTTCGTTCAAAAGGATTCTGAAATGGGATTTCAAACCCAAACTGCTTTTTGTCTTGCCTTGGGTGTAGCTTGCTAGGATCACCATTTCCCTAGCTTTGAAATGGCAAGATATTGTCAGATTTTGTCGTAAAATTATGACAAAATGAATACATTACTTCCTTGTAAAAGGAGTTTGTCATTATTAGTATAATTCAGCATTCTTATTGTTCTCAGCTGTTGCCTTGCATTGCTATCAAAAGTTGGAAGGTTGCTCCCAGACTTGAAATTCCACCAGAGATGATGAAACATAGCACAGGAGCGACATTTTGTTTAGCGGAAGTGTTAGCAGATTTTAGCATGCTTACACAGCCCTGCTTATCAAACGACAGTATCTTGCGAATCATCGTGTCCCTGAAGAACAAGGAACCTAGACACAGAATGGGCCAGTTGCCCAGTTTTCAAAACCAGCCTCAACAGGTAGGAAGCTGGAACAAATCCACTGACTGATGGTCCCCAGCGCTTACCCTTCCTGATTTGTCTCCAGTTTCTTCCTGAACAGCTGTACGACCACCGTTACTTGTTATTTCTGCCTCTCTGCCCCACATTACCTTCTTCTGCTTTCTTGCCCACACTAGCCATAACCTGCCAAGCCACTAAATTCTGTGTCCTCCAGATAGCCTTTCTCACGTGCAGGAGCTTAAAAATCATCCATCCTTCACATCTGCACTCAAATTTAGGGCCAAATCCCTCTCTAGATATCAGACTAGATACAGGGTATTCTGTTTAATGTTAAAGGTGCTGGAGGCCATGGATTCTGCTCACCTGTCTCCAAAAAGGCACCAAGAGGAGATTTGTGCACTGTTTTGATGAAGATTTCAGTTATGTTCAGTTTTTGAATCAAGTTATCAGTTGCTCTGCCCTGGAAAGTTTATGTTAGAGTTCTCTGTGGGATTAAATTGGCCATCCCACACCTTTAAACGGCTCCTTGAAATAAAGGAGTTGCTCCATCAATAAATTTGTTCCATTATCACCTGCCTGATAGTCGGTGTATGGTCTTTACAAAATAAACCCATGCAAGCCACTGAAGTGTACTTTCCAAATTCATCACAACAGAAATTCAAAAAAGTAAAATCTTCACTTCTGAAATTCCCAGAGTTACAAAGTACAAGATGCTGGAAAAAAATGACAGTATTATTGGATTTACTGTACTTCAGACTGCAAGAATAGTTCTTATTCATAAAAAGCCATAAGTCAGGGCTGATGCAAGCATAGAAAAGTTGCCTTGAAAACTCTACAGTCACCTAATGAAAAGTGAAAGCATGGGAACCCTCTGCTTTTCACTGGTTCTATCTATCTTGGGACTGTCATCTAATCTCTACCCTCATTGTTCATTCTCACTTCTTGTCCTTCTGGTTGCAAATCAGTACAGCTACAGAAAGGTGTGAAAATCTAGTCTGTCACATGATTTGCAGTAAGTTTTATACCTTCAGGGTATCTTCTTCTACTGAAGAAGACCAAAATTAAGTACCACTGTCGAACATGACCTAGGAGAGATGAGCCATGCTGAGTTAGTTTAGTACACTATTACTTCCACAAGCATCAGCTGGACTCCAAATTGAGCACTAAATGCTCTCTGAATTTATATCCAGAAGTCCAGGTAAGAGCCTTCCACCTCAGTTACCCCTCCACACTACTTCTCACCTTATAAAAGTCTCCTCTACTTTGTGACACCTTAATTTGAGCCTGCACTTCTTTATTCTCCAGGATATAGGTAAGCAACTGTCTGCTCATGGCTTGGATGAGAGTAATCTTTGCTGGGTAAAAAACTGTCTGGATGGCCAGGCCCAAAGCGTGGTGGTGAATGGAGTTAAATCCAGTTGACGGCCAGTCACAAGTGGTGTTCCCCAGGGCTCAGTACAAGGTTTAACAAGTCCAAGTGTCGGGTCTTGCACTTTGGTCACAACAACCGCACACAACACTACAGGCTTGGGGAGGAGTGGCTGGAAAGCTGCCTGGTGGAAAAGGACCTGGGGGTATTGGTCGACAGCTGGCTGAATGTGAGCCAGCAGAGTGCCCAGGTGGCCAAGAAGGTCAACAGCCTTCTGGCTGGTATCAGGAATAGTGTGGCCAGCAGGAGTAGGAGTAGGGAGGTGATCGTGCCCCTGTACTCGTCACTGGTGAGGCTGCACCTGGAGTATTGTGTTCAGTTTTGGGCCCCTCACTACAAGAAGGACATTGAGTTGCTGGAGCATGTCCAGAGAAGGGCAATGAGGCTGGTGAGGGGTCTGGAGAACAAGTCTTATGAGGAGTGGCTGAGGGAGCTGGGGCTGTTTAGTCTGTAGAAGATGAGGCTGAGAGGAGACCTTATCACCCTCTACAACTACCTGAAAGGAGGTTGTAGTGAGGTGGGTGCTGGTCTCTTCTCCCAGACAACTAGTGATAGGACGAGAGGTGATGGCTTCAAGTTGCGTCAGGGGAGGTTTCGATTGGATATTATGAAAAATTTCTTCACCAAAAGGGTTGTCAAGCATTGGAACAGGCTGCCCAGGGAAGTGGTGGATGCACCATCCCTGAAGGTATTTCAAAGACATGTAGATGTGGTGCTTAGGGATATGGTTTAGTGGTGGACTTGGCAGTGTTAGGTTAATGTTTGGACTCAATGATCTTGAAGGTCTTTTCCAGCCTGAATGATTCTATGATTCTAACTCCAAATTAGAACTGTAGCCTCCAACTCTACCAGAGCCCAGGGTAAAATCCGTACCCTTTCCAGCTTTGCTCTTGCCACTGGAGCTGGTACAAAAAAAAAATTCACTGGAAACGCTGCCAGACTTTCACTCATGAATGTGTCATTTTAGCTCTGCAGGAATTTTGCTTGGTTTCAGCGCACTGCTACATGTTCGCATTCCTTCCTGTCACCAGGGTGCTACTGAAGGAGAAGGGGAAACCTGCTCCAGGACCACCAGTGCAACAACCACGGGGCTTGGCCAGTCTGTTTGGGCAGAAACAGGAAACTCCAAAATTGTTCAAAGCGATGCTTGGAGGTAAAGGAAGGGAAGGCCTTGCTAGGCTGCTGCAGCTGAAGAGAGAACGAGACATTCAGGTAATGCCACAGAAAACAAAGTAGGTAATTCCGGGTGCTGAAGAGGGAAACAGGAATGATACTGAGATGGCCTGAGCAAAAAGAGTAGATGAAAATGTAGCCTTACTGCAGTCAACAGCGAAAGCTCCCAGTAGCTGAGATATAATCACTGTACCTAATCTCTGTAAACACTAATTCTAAAATTTGGCTCAGATCTTCCCGGACCTGGACTCTATGCAGAGCAGACCAAATAAAAACAAAGAAAAAGCAAGGAAACAAAAGTCCTCAAAGAAAGTAAGGATAAAGGATAAAATAGACTCTACAAAGACCCTAAGGGCATGTGATCTTCTAATTTTATATAAACAACAGTAAATACAGAAATATCCTAACACAGTAAACTGATTCAGCTGACTCGAGCACACGGTGAACTTTCCAATTGCAAGTAAGATCTTTGGTTGTCACAAATCCTGAAGACAAAATTTCAAGTTTAGCCCACACAGCTAAAACTGAGGAAATCTCTAATATATTGCACTTATGAGAAAACTGTTATTTTAGTTGATGAAAAATAATTCCCACATTATAGTCTGTTCTGCAAAATGTTAATAAGAACCTGCTCAGTTCTACATATTTACCGAAAGGTGGCAGAATTCTTTTCTGTCTTTATTGCTGAACTGGCCATGTTTTTATTTATTTTTTGAAGTTAAATCAAGAACTTTGTTTACACAAATGACTACAGCACTATGATCAGAGCAAAAACATTGCTCAGTTTAAAGTGAACTTAATAGCAAACAGGCTTGGCCAAGGGACTGAAGCACTGAGCAATATGCCAAGATTTACATAACACTCTTTGAAGGGGTTTGTTCCCCAAAACATGCCTGCTTCATCTTGCCATATTGATAAGAAGCAGATACTATCACTATCCACAAGCTTTTCCTAGGTTTATGTTGACATTCTGATTCTGAAATTGCATTTTCATTTAGGAACTGATTTTCAGCATCTAAATATAAATTCACATACCTTGCATACCATTAATCACAGCATCCACGCTGTGCCTTTCCACTGCATACACAGAATAGAACTACTTCCTAAATTTTTTATGCAGCATTGGAAAGCATTTAACTTCTTGTTTCTAGGAAACTCAAGCTGAAGCAGAGAACAAGCCTGAACAAGAGGAGAAGAAATCCGCGGAGCCCGCGGCCTCATCCGCACCCCCTGCACAAAAGGAAGAGCCAAGTGCAGACACTAAGCCTAAACCACCTGCAGTTATGCACAGAAGAAGCACTAAGGAGTCTCTGATCATTAGTATGTCTCCATCCCCCAGAGCAGGAGAAGGAGAGATCCTTAAAGTTGAAGTTAAAGAGAAAAAAAAGAAATAGGTAGTGCTCTGGGCTGTGGCCCCATCTATTGCCTGGCTGAATTTAGAGGGTTAGTGTTGCTTCGCTTTTGGGTACAGAAGATTAAAAGTAGAGACTGCTCAAGAGAAAAATCTACCCCAGCTCATCCTCTTCTCTTCCTTCTCTCCTGAGACAACTGGGCAAATTATTTATATGCTTACTTTTTAGCCTTGGGCCTGAAGCGCAAACTTCTGGTGTAACAGGAATTAGTGCTCAGATTATATTTCAGGACCACTTGTTTCTCGTGTGATCCATGCTCTCCCTTATCTCTTACTCTGTCTTGTTCCTGCTTCTCCTCTTCCCCCTCCTATTTATCCTCGCTTTCTTATTGATGTTCCTGTTGCTCAGTTTGCTCTTAATTTTTGTATGCATTCTTTTCTATTTTGTTTTCTGGTTTCCCATAGTTATCTTTCTTCTTGTTATTGCCCTACTGTTGCTGAGGTTACTTACATTTCTCTCGATCCTTGTCTCTCCTCCCCTTATACTTCTAATCAGTGACCTGTTTTTGTGAGCAGCGTGGCTCAGCACAGAGAGCTGTGATGCTCTGTGTTGGGATGTTCTAGCTTGGGACAGAGGGCTACAAAACAAAACCATCGTCAAAAGACAAAATCACAAAATAAAGAACAGGGAAGCAGACTGCAGAATCACTGCCAGCCTTTTGAAAGCACAAGCATCTGCCCCAGGTGTCTTTGACTCTGGTGAATAAGCATGGCAAGGGCTTAGATAATCCCCCCCCACCCCAGCAGTGACCTTTAACTCTGCGCTGCCGATTTGCGTGTTTGATCTTCTCCAGGGGCTGGGCATTAACAATATTCTCTGAGGAACAAGCAATTGATACTGGCTACCTTTTTGACCTCGACTGATGGTGCAACATGAGCCCCATGCCTTATTGGGGCTGAGAGGACTACAGCTGTCTAACAAGGAGCTCCCACACCATCAGCCTTCTGCATTGACTCACCACAAAAAGGGATGCAATGTTAAATGCACAGCTGAAGGTGTGTTTTAAGCTTAATTATTTTTTTCTCTTCCACGGGTTTGTGTCTCCTCTCTCTCCCTATCCACTTTCAGGCCTCACCAGATGAGGAACCAGTTTTGGGAACTAAAACCATCACACAGAGACCAAGCCAAGAAATCACAAGGGCAGGCTTCCCAGCTCCTCATCAACCAAGTGAGGCACCATGTCAGACTAAATTAAATGATTCACTTTGCAGGCCATACATGGTCCTGTAGGCTATACATTCTGCAGGCCTGTTCTTTACAGCCTTTGAACTTCTCTAATCACAGGCAAAGCTGGCAGCCCAACTAGAATCAGAGGGAGCTTTGCCTGAGTAAAAGCTAGAAGACTGAATTCCATATGTTGTGTGTTAGACATACATCCTCCAACATGTCCAAACCCCAAATCTCTTTCAAAAAGAAAGTTCTGCCACATTAGCAGTGAGGTCAAGGTTTAACTGCCACATGGGAAGAACCAACTTTATTTTCATGTTGCTTGTTATTTGATACATCAGAAAAAAAAGATGTCACAACAGAGGTAGAAAATGATAAGATGCATCATAAAGAACTATTCATCTATTGCACATTCCGGAATGTCTCAACACTATCTCAAAATTAGAAATATTGCAGAACTGCTTCACAAATGAGGACTTCTGTGAATAATAATGATCTATGAATTCATTACAACATATGGTTCTCACACCTTTTTTATTTGAGAGTTGTCAAAACATAACAGAAGTAGGAAAAAACCATAAACCCCCATGTTTTAACATTTTAATATTGATGACTAAAGCTCTCTTTCATTGCAGAAGATCCAACCCCCTTATGCCTACACAAATTCTACCAGGTAACTTCAAACATTTTCACTATTGGCATAATTAATTTCATTGATCATGCACCGACATACATCACAAAGTAAGGGCTGAGACCACAACATTACACTGCAGCAACAGCGCATCCTATGAGTCGCTGCTTTGCTACAGCTCTTCACGGCTCTGGGTCACAGGAAAGCCTGGCAGTTCTGTCTGCAAAATCACCAAGTCTCACACAGCTCTCGAGTTCCTTAGACTCAAAACGAAGAGGAGAAATGTCAGTGTTTGCAGAAGAACATGGCCACACAGAAGTAACACCCACCTGGTTTTCTCTATCATCCTACTTCTCTGTTGCTGGAGTATTTTAGCCTTCCTAGAATTCCTCCATTTTTAAGGGTGTGCAAAGGGCAGGAAAGGTCCAGGAAGGCAACTTGCAACTATTTATAGGGTTTTCACCAGAAGGAATGACACAAGAAAGGTCAAGATGCAAGATGCATGAAATCCTTTCAGGAACTTGTACTACCCTGTGGACCCCGACAAGTGGCGAAGTCGAGTGAATTACTCTAGAGCACTTAGAAGATGCAACTTCCAGCATCAAAGCTCACTCAGGCTCTGGACTGCATTGCACTCCACTGCAAGGCTATGTCTCTAGTATCTGTGTTCCCAGTAAAGCATCTCAGACTTGACTACACCTGAATGTAAAGAATCTGAAGGATTGAGTAGGAAAATGCATTGGAAAACTAAAAATAAATGTCCTGGTTTTGGTTAAAACAGAACCAATTCTCTTTCAGTGAATTTTTCCTTTCAGCTAAGTTCTTCTAAGTAATTGCATTTTTCTGAAGTTGGCTGTGTATTTTTCAGACAGTGCCCACCCCAGAGCTGGTAACACCCAATGTTTATAGTTACACTGAGCTAAAGGTAGGAAAGGAATGCAGAAAAAGGCCCCTGTTTATAATTATTACTGTAGCAGCCAAGGTCACCGACAGATCTCTTAGGTCCCACAAGTGAGAAGTTGTAAAGGGTCGCACTTGCAGGGAGTGGTGGACAGAACAGGTGACCCAATATTGACCAACGCGGTGTTCCACGCCATGCACGTCATACCCAGTTTAAAGCTGGGGGATCATGAGGGTCTTGCCGGCTTCTGAAGGTGCCCCTGCTCTTTGTCCTGCCTGCGATCCTGATCCGTGCATTCCTGAGTCCAGTTTCCATCTACTGCTGAGGCCAGTTTGGGGCTTCCCAGTGCCTGCAACACCAGCACCCATGGCACACAACTCCAGGAATCTCAATACTGGTTTTGTATATTTTGCATTATTTTCTCTTAGTAGTAGCATTATTCGTAAAGCTGTTTAATTTGCAGTTTGTAAGCCTCTCTCCCTTTTCCTCCTTTTTCCCTTGCCCTGGTGGGAGGGCAGGGGTTAACAGAGAGCGTCTGCCACTCAGTTTACTGCTGCCCTGCTCTGAACAGTGACAATAACCAATCTCCATGTCTCTCTACTTAAAATGTAGACGCTGTTCTCAAAAATTAAGTTTGGATAGCAAGCACAGGAGAACTCTAATGTGGCAGAGAGCATGAGACAGCCACTGCTAAAATCGTCCAATTTCAGAATACCTTCTTGCTAAAAGCCAGTATGAGATGCTTTATGAAATACACGCTGCACATCCATAACCACTGAGTAAAAAGGCATTTTTCCTCTCATCTGATAATGCTTGTTATAAATCTGAGCTGTTCAGTCTGTGAAATCATCATAGGAACTGCAAAAGCAACATTGACCATTACATAGGAAATGCTGAATACAAAAGCACAACGGAAGAACAGTATACTGAAATTAGATTTTTTTTTAATGCATAGGCACTGTAAATCAGTTAACTTCATCACAACTGAAATACAGAGGAAAGTAAAAAATTCTGGTTACAGGTTATTTCTCTGCTGTACATATGTATATATTATGACCATTACATGGCAAAAAGCATCCGATTATGAAGATTGCTATACATCATTTTTATCACAAGGTGGTGCAAGTGACCTACAAGCACATTTGCTTTACAAAACTTTGATGATATTTTGCTTTGTCACGTCCAAGCTAATAAGGCATTTTCTACACGTAAAAATAAGCAAACAAAAAATGGCAAAACAAAAAAATAACTCCCCTACCCCTTGATTCACAATCTGCTGCATTCCTTGACTCAGAATATTGCTTCAGTCTAACTTGGAAGTTTCCAAGTTTTCCAACAAGCTGTTAGCTGTACACCTCTAAGAGAAGTTCTTGCCACTGTCGGGTCTGAAACACTTCTCTTTTACGCAGAATAGGGCGCACTGAGAAGTAGCTGTCGTTGATACGCTATTTAGTTACCTAAGCTTGAGAAACACAGAGGCACTATTCCAACAAGAGATAACGAACTCTCTACTGTAGAAACTCAGATTTTATGTATAGAATACAGGCAAAATAAAAGGGTTTATGTATTTTATATGCAGCAGATATTTAGTATAATAATACCTATTAACACATTTAAACGCACTTCCACAGCAATTTAAAACAGAATTGGTAACAGAACTCCAGATGCAGAACTATATTTTTGGCAGACAGCTCAGAACTTCTGTAGTATCCTGTACTCCCATCAGTAGTACTTGTCCATGTCAATGAATCTAGACAAAGTATTAATACTGCACCCAGTTATCTTGTACACAGAGCATGTAGCTGTGGAACAGTTTACTGTTCCAAAATCATACAATATCAATATGCAGTGGTGTGGTTTAGGTTCATTATAACTACTTCCTTGAACTCAACATTTTGGGTTGCATAACTGGCACGACACTTCATTACAATTTATGTATAAAGTAGTAACACATTTGCACTACACTGATAAAAAGATGACTGCAGATTTTTATATAAACACATGAAATGGACTTCAAAAAAGAAAGAGCTTGGCTTAATATGAAACAAAGTCTCTTCCTTATTCCACTACTGAAACTATTTAGGGCCCCCTTCCACCAAGGAAAATGGAGTGGAGAAGAACATATTCATCCATGATTGATAACTAGCCAACTGACTACAACATATTTGGTATGTTCTACAGCACGTTTAAGACAATCTCAACACATTAATCTTTCATCCATCAATGTTAATGGGAATTCAGATTTTTGACAGGATTATACATGTATGGAAAAAAACCAACCAAAGCCAAAACATGACAGAGCAGCTCCAGCAACTAAAAATTCACGTACCCTACGACCTGGTGCAATCCTGAGTGCTCAAGTATGCTAACTTTAGTGTTAGCCCTTTCTCCTCTAACATGTTGCAGCTAGACCATCCAAAATCTGATCAGTCGGATGTCTCACTCGAACCACTTGAAATGTGAAACTGCAAAAATAATGCTTAGGATGGGCATTTTGAAAGTGACAAATGAGACCTTTACATCCACTTATGTTACATGCACTGACAGGATCAGAAGAGATCCTCAGAAAGCAGTATGCAACCAGGAGTCAAGAAAGGTTCATCTGTCCACTAAGCAAACATAACGTGATTTACACTTGGTGTAAATGGTGAAGAGAAAGCTCAAGCCAAGAAAATAAACCAGAAATTGTTTGCCCTAGAGAAACAGAATATGATTACAGAATTAGAGCTTCAGACTTTCTTATGCCTTCCTACTGGGAGGGAAGAGGCAAGTCTGGGTTTTTTGCAGGCACTTTTCATTTGTGAGCTCATGAAAAAGAAGCGTGATTCAAAATATGAGAAAAACAACATAAATGAATCTTGAATCTTGAAGGTTGCACCTTCAAGAACTCTCTTTGCTTGAAAATATGCAGTTATAAATCAGACAAAACTTTTTAACTGAAAAGTGAATTCCCATTTCACAAAAAGCCCTTTAAAGATCAATAGCCATGACTGTTTTATGGGAAAAAATAAAAAAAAACAACCCTGAAACAAAACACTAATCAACATAAAATTTGGAGTTCCAGTCTTCCAACACAGTACACACTGAAATACATCTTACAGCCTTTACAGTAGTAGCCTCAAAGGCCAATAGCATTCTTGTGAGATGTTAGAGACTTACCTTGATTCACCCTAGATAATCCTGTGCTACCTGAAGAGATTGCATACTATAAGAGTATATACTCTAATGACTTGCTTGGCTTGTTTTCACACGGGCCTGAATCCCAGTCATCTACCAGAGGCACTAAAGTGACAAACGTGAAATAGGCATGCAAGGAAGGCCTGCACACACTGTCTTGGCACATGTTTAATTATGAAACTCCAATGTCAAAATTGTGTTATGGTGGCTTAACAGACACAGAAGCCTGAAGTACTCCAGATTTGAAGCACATACAAACTTTTATCTGCTTTGTGATATCACCTCTTTCACTTCAGACTGGTTTTATGGTCGCTGAGAAACTTCTGTCCTCGGTGTTGATCCCCACAAAAAATAACTGAACAGTCCCACTGGCCATATTTATCGAACAGGCAGCTGTTCCACTTCCAGCTGTTCTCCCTCTTCTCTCTGCATACTCAAACTCTTTTTTTCCACCTTACTTTTCAAAATGAAATGCACCCACATAAGCCCTATCTCTCAAATATTAACACAATTACAATCTCGTCCCTTAAAAGGCACACTTGGCAAAGCGATTTGCAGGCAAAAGCTAACAGACATTACCTTATAGAGGTGCGTGTATACATGTATACAGAACTGTCTCGATAACCAAAGTCTATGGATACAGCAAGTAAAGCAAGCACAAAGTCTCAGCTCCCCTGCTCAGCCCATTCACTTTGCAGCAGGATTCTTCGGAGGCTGCAGTTTGTAGGTGCTGAAGTAGTTCACCACTTGCTGAGGGACTTCTGCCAGGACACACTGTGACAGGGCTTCTTTTGGAGACTTATAAAAAAAAAAAAGAACACCAAGTTTCAGTTTCCACCAACTGTTAACAGAGATCCTAAGGTGAGTAATAAGCACCTCCTCTACTAGGCCAATTTAAAGTCTTATATTTTACAGAGGAATTTACACAGTGCCCTTGTGGGATGCATGAAAGCTCCCCCAACATCTTTACCTTCTCACCCCCACTACCAGGAACCAGCTGGCTGCCTTGTTCCACTGAATTAATAGGAGCTGGGTGTGCAAAGGGCTGCTGTGTCTGAAGATGCCTTTTGTCACACGAACTACACAGAGTGCAGATGTCGAACTTCAGCCACGTAAAGAGACTTCCACCATCTGCTTAAGATGACCCTTCAGGGGTTTGTCTCATCAGCTGCAACCTTTTGCACCAAGTCTCATCCACAGTAATTGTATTGCGACACAGCAGCTCTTCTAGAGATACTGTTTTTACTGTAAGACTAACACTGCATGGGAAAAAACCCTCCCCTTTTTCTAGAAACTGCAAGCATTTGAATATATAATTTTACACTGAATATTGAACCTAGTTAATCTACATCCAAGTGCGTTGTTCTGTAAGCTTATTCTATACTGACTTTGCTCTCTTTCTCCTTTCAGTTTAGCTGAGTTGTTCTGAGATTAAACAAAAAACTTGTATCAAAAGTAAAAATAAAAATACAAACACAAAATAAGAAGATATAAGGAGCATTATTAACATGGTTAATATTAAGAAACAAAACAAAATTAGAACATATTAGGAAGAAAATAAAAATATTGACCTTACCTTCCTCATCCTGATGAAATTTTGGTTTCTTTTTTTACATCAACTTTTTCCAGCAATATGACATTTAAAAGTTGGACTATATTAGCCTGTGCGTATTTTATTGGGTTCTACAGCAAAAAATCAGGACTCCATTTTTTCACTGCCTATTTTTTTTGGTATATTTGCTTTTATGAAAAAGAAAACTATCACCACTATTCTACTCACACACAATTTCTACTGATTATGACCTCCCTGATTTAGTCTTGAATTTTAACACTGCACTAAAATGTGAGATGAATCCACATTTGCAAATGGGCATCCATAATGAAAACCACTTTTCCATAAGAACAAACCCACATTAAGTTCTTCCTCTGAAATGAAAAACACTTCCATTCGTTTAATCAGGTCTGAGGGAGATTTACAAAGGTCATTATCCTGCAGCAACTTGTCAGAAACGCAGTGCTCAAACCAGTCTTTTTAAATGTGAACCAACTCAACTAATGGAAATTCTACAGATGCTTAAGTCTTCTCCCCTTTTCTATTTTAGCATTTGATGAAGACTTATCTCAGACTTCAGAGTTCATTTTAGAGACACTACAAAAGCTTAGGACTATACGCAGGATATCCTAGCAAACCCAGCATATCTCTACGATGTTTATTAAGCATACCATTAACATTACTTACATTTTGGAACTTCCTGAATGGCACAAACTGGACAATGTCTCTGACAGCTGGTTCTCCTGATGAGGATCTAAGAACTCCATTGTCACCATCAAGAAACTCCATAGCATCAAAGTCTGCTCCTCCAACACCAACAATGATAATGGACATGGGCAATTTCGAGGCATTAACTATGGCAGTTCGAGTTTGATCAAGGTCTGTTATTACACCATCCGTTATGATCAGAAGTACAAAGTATTGCTGTCAAATCAATAAACACTACATTATGACAAAGAAACAGAAAACATGTAAGCACGTACGCTTAGAAAAATGCACATACAGACTACATACTGTTGTCACTTTGAGCATGTTCAGTGCACTCACTGAGTTTTACAATCAAACATCTAAGTCGTGGTCAGGCTTCATCCATACAGTCCAAAGAAATTTATAAGGACAACATAATCACTCTTTTAAAAGAAGTCACCTTTGAACAGCCACCTCCCAAAACCGCAAATATATCACCTTTCTTCTCCTCTCCAAAATCCCCAGACAAACCAACAGTTAACCTGCCTTCCAAGTATTTGCCCTGGGACTGAGGCGGTTTACTGAGGTTTTGGACAGATTACACCTGTGAAACTCGTATTTGTTTCCTTTCTGGTCTATCAATACCTTTATGAAATGCTACCCCTCACTTCATTCAGTTAAGAACAGATGAACAAAAGAGTGCTACCAAGGGTAATGGAACAGGCCTTCATTTTTTCAGTGTATCCCTAAAATCCTAAACATAGATGAAAACACATCTTTTTGACTGAAAAACAGCATGTCCATTTTCAAAATCCTTTAATCATGTTTTCTAATTACTTTATTAAGTTAATTACCAAGGGACCTGAGACCACCTTGCAGTGCTTTGGTAATTTATTCAAGTATCACTTGAGTTGCTTCCACTATACTGCCAGGGCTTCTCAAAGTTAGCATCATAGCCTCTGTTCCAGACTGAAGTGCCAAGAACAAGCTAGAAGTACAAAGTTCAGAAACTTATCAAACACTTTTTGAACTTCTGGTCTTCTCTCACTTGGTTCATTTCAGTTGATTACTGGGCAGCACAAATCCAAGTTCCAAAAGGTACTCCCAGTATTCTTAAAAGTCTTCCTTTTCAGTACTTTGCTTCCCACCTTCCCTTATCTGCCCCCAAAATAATTGATTTTCCCTTGTCTCCTGTGTTCAACCGTCACCTTTTCTTATTTCTCCCCAACACCCCATTCCCCGATTCCAGCAAGAAAGTCTATGAAGCAAACATGATCAGAGAAGGCTATGACCAGCAGCATGATAGCACATCACACTGGATTTATTTCTTTCTTATATACTTCCCCCATACCGGGAGGGGTGGTGGTGGTGGTGTACATCAAACACCAAAACCCAACCCAAAAATCTATGATATACATTAAATAGCAAGGCAGCAAAATTTTGTCAGTACATCCTTTCAGGCAGAAGAAATAAATCTCTTGCTAGGCATATTGCACTCTCAAGAAGAAAAAAAAATTACAAGAGGTTTCTGCTACTTTCCTGATATATATATATATATATGTATGGATGACAGTTACTACTGAAAGACTACAAAGGCAAAACCTTTTAAAACTCTTAGAATATGAAAATCCATAGCTTTTTTCCAAATTGGTTTCCACAGGTGCTTTTATATGCAAAACAAGCCGATTTTATCTTCTGATTTCACATGATGTCTGATACACAAATATTTGCTATCATCAATGCTTTAGGATATAGATGGCTTCAGATTTGCTGAACGTGCATGGATTATTATCCAAATTATTCAATACTTGCTCTTCAGATTTCCTGTTTCTTAATATGGTCAATAACCCACACATACAATTTTAACACGGAGGAGGGCACAACACTTACATCTAGAGCTTTATATAAAGACAGTTAATTATCTATGTTGGTACCTAGGTGTCAGGAGCTCTAGCCTCCATTTCTTGGTTACCTTACTTCTCTCACTCAGCTATCTGATGTGAAACAGGGTGATTTTTCTCAGCTGAGGTTAAATCACTCTCCTGTATGCAAAGGCTTAAAATAGACTTCAACAGCTGTACAGCACTGCAAGAGCTTTGAACAGAAGATAACATAAAGGTGCTATGTATTTTTAACTGGGTATTTCAGCTCTGAAGAGTTTATGTAGTTAATGTAGGAGAGAATTGTTGTGCACATTCTGCAAAAATACGCTAGCTTTTATCTCTTTTTAAAGGTATGAAACACCAATTCACAAGGTAAATAGCCAGCTGTCAAAACAAATATACTTACAAGCTTAAAAAACAGTATTTATAAACTAGAAGGGAAAGAAAAAAGAAAAATACACACTCTACTATAAAGAACTTACTGATGCTGTTTGCTGTTGTGTAGCTGCAGCAGCAAATCTTGCCACATGATTTATAATTGGAGAAAAATTGGTTGGCCCATACAATTTCACTTGAGGAAGACAAGCCCGATATGCATCAACAATGCCTTGGATTCCTAGAGAACACCAACAGATCATCTTGATTTTTTTCATGTTAGAATTAGGGTATTTTGAAGCACTTGATTTTCTTAAAACACTGTATATATAGGATATTTAAAGTGACGATGCAAAGATTTAAAACTAACCACACTGAAAAAACCAAATGATTGATGAGCAATGGAGGCCTTCAGCTTGACCAGTGCTTAATGCACATGTTTAACATGCTTGGCTTTACGTGAACAGAAAGGCCAAACACTGCACGCTCAAGTGTGTGTAACTGAAATACAACAGGTCTCTGCCTGGCAGCTTGTGGCAGTTAGTGGACAGGCCATGTTGAACAGGCACCAGCAGCATCATACTCAAACCAGACACCTCCACACCAGCAGCGAAGTAGAATGAAGTGGCTTGATAACATGAGAACTGTTCCCAGCTTGCCTGCTATGTGCCCTAGCTTTTTAAAACACTTCTTTCGTGAATCATTACAGAAGAGAGATCAAATGCTATTTCCAGTAACTAAGCAAACAATTAAAAAAATGTTTCCTGCTACACAGTGAAACTCATCATTTAATTAGAACAACATGCCTCGCAGTTCACCTTTCAAGTGTCTTTTATCCTTTCACCATACACATTTTCTTCTCTACGTCTGATGTTACTTTCTCAGACTTACCATTACAGAATGGGCTTGATGGGTTAAAGTTTAATGGGAACTCATGTGACACCTGTCAATACACAAAAGACATAGTCAGGACTGTATATACAATCTCCTCCTGAAGTAAGTGTCTTTAGTTGTATTTACGTATTCTGTTACCTGAAAGGAAGGAGGAATTTGTGCACCAAATCCAAAGGCTGGAAACATCTTATCTCTAAAAAAGCAATTTTAAAGAAAATGAATGAGTGCCTTCCTTTAAAAGCTGTCATAGTTCAGTAAGTTTAGCTAATCAGTGCTGCTTTTGATCATTAAAAATGCTGTTTATTAAGCATTAAGAAGCAAAATTAAATGGACATTAAGTTCCCCCCTTTAATTGTTTCTGGTACCAAATCCAGTCTTTAACACCAAACTAGCAAGAATGCAAGCACTTCTCTAAATTTATGCTGCTCTTTACATCACAGATGAAAAGCCTTGCTTGTCTGATGTAAACACAAGCTTCTGCTTGTGATTATGTGATTGTTGCAGTGATTATGAAGTCTTTTTCCAGCTCTACATTTCAGCCTATAAGTTTCATTTTGATAGATCTGCTGGCATCCTCAACACCAGTCTAAGAAACTACCACAAAAATCCACACATATCTAAAAGAAGATTTAAATAAAAATCTAAAACTTACGTATCATAATCCTGAATGACCATTCCTACAGACCAAATGGCTGTTAGGTATTCATTAACTCCATTGGGGCTGAGGTAATGCAGAGAGTCTGGAGAGCGAGGGTCTCCATTGGAGCCTGTAAAATCTATTCCCACCTGCCAAATGCAATATTTATATCAAATTGCTGTTAGAGGTAAAATTACGTTCTTGCCTCTAGCAAAGTCAAAGTGAAAACGATGAAAGGGTTGTAAACAGTAGGTACCAGGGCACATCTGCAAGCACAGTACTTAGATGCAGGCTTCTTGGAATATTAACCCTCTTAAAACAATGCCACTACAAAGCCAGCAGAAGCTCTGAATCTCTCAGAAGGGCTGAAATGACTTTCATCTGTCAGGTTTTCACGGTGTTTACTTTCAGTTAACATTCACAGCAGCTCTTCAAGAGCTGTTCAATTAATTTCATCCTGTATCGTGCCATACACATCTTCTCTCTCAGAAGTACGATGAGCCAAACATCACAGAAACCTGGAGATAGTTCTTTCTCTGACCTCAGTGGGTCTTCTTTGCTTTGGTGATGAGGCATAATACCAGAGTGAAAACATCTTATTGTTAATTTGTGCTGTATTTGATTCATGAATTACATAACTTAAGGGTCCTAACCCATATGATGGCTTCTGTGTGCTACTTTCACTAAGCAAAGGGCCTTGAAAACCACCACCAAGGCCAAAAGTGAAGTCTTTGGTCAGAGGAAGGGAAGAAGAAGAAAAAAAAAGAGCCCTTACAAAAAACAAAACTTGAAGTAAATCAGAGAACTTTAAATTTCTCCTTGGTCTCCAGTCACACAGCTCAGCTAGTGCCTAAAGAACATAACTACAGTTGCAGAACTTTGTGCCATGAGTAAAGAAAATAATTTTTTCTAAACACATTAGATGGACTCTGGCAAAATGGCTTCCCCCCTCCATGCTACAGAACAAAAACAAATATATAATAATCAAATGAAGAGCACAGGCAATAAATCATATACTTCCGTTTGTTCCAAAACTCAAAAGTTACTTTACATAAATGATTTAACTTACTGTGAAATTCAGCTGACACCCACCCATGATGTAATCAAGGAATGTGCATTCTACTATGATCTAGAAATAGAAGTTAAAGATAGAAATTAAATTCTTTTTTTTAACGTGAGAAAACCAGTAAGTATTATTGCAGCAACTTCTGAGGTTCCAGATTTGTTATCTCTACCCATGCCAGGCACTACTTTTACTCTACAGCTATCCCACCCACCCATGCAGTGAGGATATTTACAGCGTGCACCATTACACACCCAGCGCATCCGATCATGCCTTTTACAAAATTACAGGCAGACAACAAAGCAGCTCCAACAGCACTAGAATTCATAAAACAACATATTATGACAGACTGAGGAAATTTTAATTCACCATGAAACAGTGAGTTAGGAAAAGCAGTGGTTCAGGAATGGCCTTACAAATTGGTAAGCAATTTTTGCCATTACAGGTGGTATCTTCCAGAGAAAGTTGGAGACAGGGGAAGACAGACACATGCTGTCAGTCTGTCTCCTTATATGAATCAGAGCCCTTAAATATCTACTGCGTCTGGAACTTTCAGACATTTTAAAGTTTCGTACAGTTTGAGGGTGAAGGCATACTAGATGGGAGTCATTGCACCTGAACACTTAAAGAAAGAGAGTCATACTAGAATATGTTACAGACCTCACAGTGCTTAACGCTCACAATGCCAGAATTTTTATAGTTTTTTTTCTTCTGCCTTTTCTTTTCATTGATGCACTCAAATTCAACCTGCATGAATGCAAACAAATCCAAAAAAAGCACTATAAATATAATTTATACAACAAAATTTAAAAATTCTTTATTCTAGGACTGATACTTCGGACTTGTATTAAAAATGCAGTTTATTTCATTAGGCACCAGCCTGCCCAAAATCATCAAGAAAAATCCCATTATCAAGACAGAACTCCTCTCTTACCCAAAAGCTTACAAACATGTTTGTTTAGACAACTGTATTAGAACGAGACAAAGAAATTCAGTACCACTTTCCCTCTGCTGATTCCACTAACAACTTTCTTTTTGGTAAAGACATGGTGATTAAGGCAAAGCATCACTGTGTCCAGCAACTGTGGCAGTAGTGTACAAAGTAAGAGGTATACATTGAAGCTTTCCAAAATCAGTCGTTGAAGCTTCTTCAACTAAATCAACACCTCAACAACCTCCATGTGTCATCAACAGCTAGCCAGGTTAAGCAGCTCCTGCCATCATACGGTCATGATGGCACAACTTAGCGTGCCTGGTGCATAAACAGCTTGAGGAAGTATTCCAGACATGCCTTCCAGCTCAGGGCCAGAAACAGGTTCTGCTGCTTTGCAATTAATCTCAAGTGAAAAAATGAATTAACAATGTCAGCACTTAAGAAGCCTACATGCCTCTTGTTAATCAACTTTTTTTTTTTTTTTTTTTGGACATCTCACCACCAATATCACTTCTATTTGATGGAAGTTATCTTTCTGGGACTTGTTTTTGTACTATGACAATTGGTGAGGTACTCACTAATAACGGCCATGAGGTACATAACATTTACAGCCTTTCAACCACATTTGATAATCCACCCAGAGCTCAGCAACAGCACGCTTGGGGGGAAGACACACCTTAAGGGAAGGGGGGGATCAATCAGCAATTCTCCAGCGAGTGAAAAGCCCCCCATTCACTTCAGTCATACAAGACCAGCTCTTTCAGTAGCTGAGGATACAGTCACACCCATGCTCATCTCAAGTAAACTGGAAAGAAGTTGCGCCAAATCCCCACAGGTGCAGCTGATGTCAGAATTTTGGGAGTAACTATAGATCACACTTGCAGTATATAAAGTAAAATTCTAACGTGCACTAGAAATATTTTACAGACATTATCAAATTAATCAGGATTAGAGGTTAGCTCCTTTTAGAAGTAAAAGAAACCTGGAGCACATTATTTGTGTTGTCTCTTATCTTCACTTCATCTTATTGACACAGCAGTAAGTTACTTAGAGTAGGTATAGCCACAGCTCCCATGAAAACAACTTTCTTAAAGCATCTCCAAAACCAGCACAGGCAGATTACAACTGAAAATACCTTTTCTTTAAATTCAAAGGAGATTGCACTTATTATGCTACTAGTGGAGCAACTAGAATAGATGTTTGTATTCTCAAGGAGCCTTTACACACCACGTTTCACACTGCACAGGAACTTACTATCACAGTTCTTACAAAAAATATGTGATTGAAAATGTGAACATACCAGTCTGTTAGGTTTGTTTAATTTATGATACTGCTCTACAACAAAAGTGCAACTTTAACAAAAAAAAAGGAATTAAGAAAAACTTCTTGTTAAAAGATTCAGAAAATCTTCATCAAAAACCACAAAAAATGATTTTATTAAATATTGCAGCTCCGCACTTTATTTTTTGCACCCTTTAAGCACAACAATACAAAGGATCACTGTCAACATTGAAAGCTAAACTGATACCATCTGGCCCCTGAGAATCTAGAAAAAAAAGAGAAAAACACGTAGGAGCTCCAACCAGGCAGCATATGAATTACATGTGTGTGATATGAGTCCAAAATTCCTTACAAACAATATAAAACCCTAAGAAGCATTAAACTGAACCATTCATAATTCATAATGAATACAGAAACAGGTATCTAAAAGAAAAGGATGGTAGGGCAACAAAGTAGCAATCAAAAAATCACTGCAGTCAAGGCTAACTCTTCACGTTCAACAGTTCTGAAGAATCCAGTACAAACGCAACACTGAAGATGTCACAGAAGTACAAGCAGGCACTCAATATATTCCATTGTGATTAATGTCGGAGCAGTTCTGCAGGTTTTACAGAAGTAAATAAAAAGATGGAAGAATATTTTGATAACATACATGTCCATAAAACAAAGACTTTTATGTTAAGATTGCTATGACACCTTTCTTCTTTCAAATTTAAACCTTGTCTATTAGAAAATTTGAAAATTGTTACAGTTCATAAGAACAGGAAAGGTAATCTCACTTCATAGAAGAGCCACCTAATGTAATACATTCAGTTGCATTTTTGTGCAGTGGCATAAATATTGAAGTTTTTCATACTCACTAAAGTATGCATGGTAGTGTCATACTTTAGAAAGAAAGGACTGAGTAAAACGTGACAAAAATACTGCAAGCTTTGGCCTTTTAATTGCAGTGAATTTTGTACTGCTTTCTGTCTTCTGACATGCTACATTTTTTTATTTCTATATTTTTATGATTAGTGAAATTCATTTGTGCTGATGGTTGGGTATTTAGATACGCAATATTAAAAACTGTAACCAAGACATTAATTCTAGAAAAGCGGATACACAATGTAAATTCTGAGTCAGCCTCGACCACAGCAGCATTGTTAAGGTGTATCCGAAGACAACATCGATATCTGCAAGTCAAGTGACATAAGTGTTGCTCCATAATGAGTAAAACAGCTTATCAAATACCCACAGGCAGCTCAGACTGTGTAAGACTTACAGGTGAGGACCGAGAAGCTTCCTTCAGTTTTGACATCGTAGTTTGAAAACTTCCTATGAGATCATGAGACCCATCACTATCATAGTCATAGCATTCAACCTAAAATGAAGCATCATTCAGTGTCAGCAACAAAAATGACGCTACAAAAGCAATAAGCACTGCAATGGCATTTCTAGTTCAGGCAGACCTGAACAGCTAAAACATTCCTCAATCTCTTTTATCACACAGTTTTTCCTCACGCTGCAGTCTCAGAATCGTGTATGTCTGCATCTAAAGATTACAGATTAAGATTGGGTAAAAGCCAATATACCCAGTTTCAGATCAGATCTTCCACTGAAGTGAAGGAGAGACAAAAGTACTAAGCAGTGTCAGGTCCCGCGTGAGCGGGTAACATCAATTACACTGAACTACATCTTGGGAGTGAGGGGTATTAGGCAGAGCAGAAAAATAAGAATGCAGGGTTTTTTACTGTCATTATGTATTAAGAGACCTAGTTTCTTGTAGATATTAAGGAAATTTAACTAGCTCTGAGCATCCAGCTAAAAATTTAGTAAAACAGTTATTCACCGATCAAAGTTTTATTAATATTTTTTATATTATTTTATTAATCTTCAAGATCACTCAGAATTTCTAAGTATATGAAGGTTCAGCTCTAAATCTAGAAAGACGACTTTTTTTTTTTTTTTAAGATTAGCAAATTTAAACAGTCACTATGACCCGTACTTCATGGATCTGCATGTCAATTAAAAATCCCTCTTTTCCTGTATTTAATGTTTAATGCTAAGTTGTACTATTCAGTCTACTCATCTTTTAACAATCTAACCCACCAAGTAAACAATACAAGCAAAAAATACACTTTTTTCCTGTTTGAGAACCTATCAGATTGAGTGAGCATAATTTTACCACTGTTAACTTTAACCTTACAGTGTCCTTAATTTTATTTTTTTTAAAAGCTCAACTTACGAATGTGCCCCAACTGCCTTTCTGGATGAAAAGTTGGGTATTAATCTGTAACAGCATATGCTAATTCCATCCACTTCTGATATTTCATTTCAGTTTAGCAACATAGACATGCTAGCTAACTTAATCAAATTGCACAAAAACAAATTAAAATAATTTAATGATAATGATGATAAATAATGAAAATAATAAACCAAGAGTCAAAGCAGGAATCCTTCATTATTTGGAATCAAAACAAACTTCAGGAAAAAACTTTCCTGAATAGATACGGCTTAAACTGAATAGCGATTTTCACGTCTGTCTTTCCAGACTGAAAAAATCGTATGCTATATTCAAGAAACAATTTAGCTGATTACTTGGCCACTTCATTTAGGAATAACAAAGTAAAACAAACAACTTCAACGTATACTTGAGCTTCTGAGAGGAATTAACTTTCTAAAAACAAACAGCAATGCTGTTTGTACAAAATACGATGCATAGATTGAAACTTCTCCACTGTGCAGAACACGCCTCTGTTGCAGTTTGCACTACTCCTACAACATTTTGAATGCACTAATAAATAAATAAAATGCATGCACATGCATTGAATAGTAACTTAAAACTCATACAAGCAGCCACAGTACCAACAGACTAATGTTCATGGCAGATGCTGTGTAAATTCTTTTGAATGCCATAAATTAAGCCAATCAAATACTCAGCCAAGTGTTTCAGTACCTGAAATTTAAAACTGAAGACATTTCCTGAGCGAATAGTTATGATACCTGTTCACAGTCAGCACAGTTAGTTTTTTTTCCTTTTAAAGGGATCAAAGTTTGTCTTGCTTGACATAATTGACCCATCTAAGCCATTTTTCGATACTTTCTCGAGGCAAGACAGAAATATTTCTTTTGTTCCACATACACTCTCCTGGACATGCAATAGCGCTAGGGAACCATCTGATAAAACAGCATATATGTTTTCCCCAGCAGAGCTAGGCATGCTTGCTCCAGATGAAAGGCTCACATTTTCAACACAGAAAAACTTCACTGACTGCAAACACACCCACATGGAATACACCAATAAAACCAGAAGACCAATAATCAGCTTGGTTTGTGCATGGCTGGGGATACACAAACTAAGCCATTAAACAGCTGAAAATGCACTTGTTATGGAAAAGTTAGTGGTTTTACTTACTATGACAAATAGCCCATTACGTATGGAACTGCACGCATATAAAAGTGTTAAAAGTATTGTTGGATTATTTCAACAAGATTACAACACAATTCTGTCTGCATTTTAATGTTTGAAGTGTTAGCTCCCAGATTTCTAAGTTAAGACATAATCCTAGCATCTGCCTGCAAGTCCATAACAACTCCAAGTAAAATCTATTTCCTTTGGAAATAAACCAACACTTCTGAGGTAAGAGTGCAAAGAACAGACTTTATTAAAATGATGACAGGGTTGAGAATAACTCCATCTTAATAGACATATTTTAATCAATAGTCTATAGTTGTAGTACAGCTGTTTACTGAAAAAGAGAAATATATTTACAGTATACGGAGATGTAAGAGCTGTCACAGCTATTTTAGGGACAAGCGTAGCACAAAGGAAAAACATAGCAAGGGAAGCAGGTTCTGGGCTTGTAACCTTGTCCATAAGTCTGCTCTATAATTATGTATTTAAATCTACACAGGTGCTTGTAACACCCAGATCCCTGTGGCTGTTAAGCATTTTCCAGGACTGCTTCAAGTCATATGACCAATATCTGTCACATGCAGATCATGCTCTCGTTTTTCTTTCCCAGAGGAATAATTGCAAGCAGAGTGGTTTGTTTCATTTGGGTTGGGTTTTTTTTGTTGTTGTTTTTTCCAAATGCTAAAATATCAGGTTCCTAACATGTTCATAATAGCTTATAAATGACATTTTGATTGGTTGTTTAGCCTCCCCTAAAGGGAATTCCTGAAGAAAAACATTCAGACGTTAAACGTAATTCATTCAGGATAAGATCTGAAGATATAAAGAGTTAAGAGACCAGTCCTGGTAAAACTATCACTTCACAGGTTTGGTTGACCTGCTGACAGAAGTTCAGTTTCATCTGAGGAGAAAAGTTACCACATCTGGTATCCACAAGATGCATCTGGTCCACATCTGTTAACTTAGCATATATTTAGTATAATTAATTGTATCAAGTAGTATACTAAGAGTTTCATTAGTGTTACCTGTTGCATCAGTAACAAACATGGAAGAAAGCATATTCTAGCCTTTACCACACATCTTTCACTACACAGTATCTTAACACCACCAATACTGGCTGATGTAACACTAAAACTGTACTAAGCAAGAAACTGAACTGGGCATTTCAAAGCTACTTACAGTCAGCTGGTTCCCCAGACTTTCAAAGAACAAATTTGAGCAAATAGTGCATCACAAATGTAAGATTTTTTTTTCCTAAAACACACATATATCTCTGACTTTCAAATTAGAATAAGAAATCTAGTAATTTCAATTCAATTTCATATAAAGAGAAGCAATAACTAGAATGACACATCTTCCATTTACTATATATTTTAAATTTGTAATGCATTAATTCATACACACATTTCATATACATTACCTTGATTGACTTATCCATGTCACTGTAACACAGAGAATTGAGAGAGATTTTAAATGGCCTCCAAACAGGATTCAGGTTGTTTTTAATAACCTGTTAAAAAAAAAAGCCAGAATAGTACTGTTCACAAGAGTGGAAAGTAGTCATCATAACTGGTCACACCTTCATGTCATGATTTTTGTAAGCAAAAACAGTTGACTAATGCTGCTGTCAGTGACCTCCCACAATCCAAATCCTAACACACAGGATACAAACAAACTAAATATTCCTAACATGCAGTACCATTGCCCAAAACAGATGGTATATTTCAGCTCAGTGTTTTTCTAGACTGCACTGTGATCTACTATATCATTCAGCTACTACATTGCAAAAAAATAAATTTCTTTATTGTTACATAAATAGTGATATTGTTGGGTTTTCTTAATAAGTAGACACATATATACATACACACAAACATATACAAAAGTATGACTTACCAAAAAACATGGAAAAAGATTACATTGGAATTTCTGAATACATCAATGCTCTGGAGATTACAATACAATCCAATCACATTGTGATTCTGTGATTCTATTACGAAAACCTTATCCTGAAACAGACTTGTGGGTAATTATTTTAGATCTTGGCCATCCCTCAGAAAGCAAGCAAACAAAGAAGAGCCACTTAAAACTCTTCATCAGAGAAATTAATTTGCTTTTAAATTGGGGAGGAAGTTCTGCAGTCCTTTTTAGGTTTATTCACTACGACAGTTGTGAAAAATTGCACACAACCATGCCAGAAAACATCCAACACTGGAGAAAACAAACAAAAAAAAATACTCAAGGCCAGAAAAAAAGCAGAACGCTTGCTGTTCCTGCCCTCTCCATGTTCATAAGTCCCGGCACGCCTCGTGTTTGACGTTCCTGAGAAGTTAACTGTGCCTAAAAAACTACTGATCTTCAATTTACACAATTTATTACTTCTTGTATTGAAGATTAATGAACAGCACTTGCATGTACCGGGGTCTTTCAATACCTGCAGGGAGAGCTTACATTCGGAAGCACCATATCCACCCAGTCACGGCTACAACGTGACTACCGCTGCATTAACTGACGTGGTTAGGGATCACCTTTACACAGAATTTTTGAACACATGGAAAAAAAAAAATAGGTTATATTGCTCTGCAAAATTCACTACAAAATCTATTCTTCTCTAATGTTGACATGGGACGGTGCCAAAGCTCACGGATCTGAAGGGAGAGCTACTTTTGTCTTGCAGATACGCACGCTCGGGTTTGTGCATATATTCCTACTCCAGGGATAAATAAACAGGAGGTGGGGAAGGCTGCAGCACCTGGCCCGTGACCGCGTTTATCCCATCGCGTGCCCTGAATCCGCAGGCTGCCCCGCTCATCAGCCAACGGCGGCTTTTGCGGGGTCCAGCGGGGGCCCGGCAGAGCGGCCTCAGGCGGTCTGGGTACGCCGGGTGCAGGTCAGGAGCTGCGGTGCCGGGCCGGTGCCTCGCTCCCTGTGCCCACGCCAAGGGCCCGCGGGACGAGGCTGCCTCCAGATGCAAAAGCCAAGGCTCCTCCAAAGGCAGCCACGCGTGACAGAGTATCAGGAGAGGTGGGCTTTGGGAGAGGCAGCCTAACTTTAAAGACATTTTGCGTGATTTAAATAATGATAAAAAAATACCTCAGTCTATTAATAATGCTGGGCAAAGCACACCTCTAACACTGGGAAATACGAGTCGTTTTTCCTACTGCTTCCCAACAAACTCTGCACTGGAGACGAGGCAGTGGCTAAATTCTGGAAACCTCAGAGCCACACTGGGAATTGCTGAGCAGCAGCAGCAGCAGCACCCCTGACCACCCCTCGCGCAGGAGGCCAGTCTCATAAGTATTTCCAGACATAATACTTCTCACTATAAAATACATTAAAGGCCTCTAACCCTAATCTTGTAGGCTCTCTCTGATGTGCAGATTTCATCCCTTGAAGCGCCCTCACTGAACTGCAGAGAGATGTCAGCACCAAGTGCTCAGAGGACAGACGGAACAGGCTGCCCAGGGAGGTTGTGGAGTCTCCTTCTCTGGAGATATTCAAGACCCGCCTGGACAAGGTCCTCTACAGCCTGCTGTAGGTGACCCTGCTTCCGCAGGGGGGTTGGACTAGATGACCCACAGAGGTCCCTTCCAACCCCAAACATTCTGTGATTCTCTGATCTCATATTTATTCTGAAATGCCACTTATGGAAATATGCCCTCAAGAAATTCATGGTATAGTTAAGCAGAAACAGTGCATGAGGATAAAAAGACACCCTACTGCACACAGTCTCTCAAGCTGAATGCTAAATAAGTGATATTTAAGAATAATACTGAAGAATCTTCAGAATTTGACAACTGGAAAGTATCTGTAATATACCAAATAATGATCTTCTAAAGCACAAGAGACTACACACAATAAGCAATACCTAACTAATAATACCTAGGAATAGTAATACTTATACTTCCAGCACTGTAGGAGTGCAGAGAAAGAAATCCCTCTTTTGAAAATGAAAACAGTAAATAATAGTTACTAATATAAAAATGTTTTTAAAATCTGTAATGTAAAGAACTAATCCTTCAGCCCTTTCTAGGCTGGTACAGCAAATTCTGGGTTCATTACCGAAACTGGAGATGACTGAAATCCTCATGGAAAAGGTATATTTCATGCAGAAGAACCACCTCATGAGAGAAACCATTTTCATAAATCTGACATAAAAAGGATTTATACTTCTTCAACACCTGTGCTTCAAAATTAATACGGTCACCACTTCAAATGTGCATAGTATCTCAGTTGTGACTAGGGCCTGAGCTCCCACTACAGCGTGACATTACGAACCTACTTCTACCCTGTCAGTTGCTGCCACGGGACCTCTGCACCTCCTCCGGGTTAGCAGGCTGCTGCTGCTCAAGCACTTTTTCCCTCACTCAGCATCATCCTTGGCTCGCCCTTGCTATGCAAGCATTAGGTATAATTACTTTCATTAGTAAACAGCACAGCTAGTTGACACTGACATAACAACAGCAGTCACAGGAAGGCCTCTAACCTCAGCTAAGATCTAACCTCGAAGTTCTAACCTCAGAGTAGCATAGAGACAAATGTCCCTCTGTGTGTATATAGTACCTTCTCAAAACATTTGTTTTCTTCTAGATTACAGAAAGTTGGATTTTTTATGTAAAATTTCCTTTAAAATAGGATGGCATAAACCAGAATCAGCGTAAGGTAAACTTCCCGTCCTATCAGAAAAATCAGTGGAAGAGCCGAGGTGATTTCTGACTGGTTTGCATGCCAACTACCAGACCGTTCTCTCTCTTCTTTTCACAAGGCACTGTACCTCCAGTGCTGCGACACACTGGAAATAAAATAACCTTAATCTCTAGGTTGTTGACTGAAAATATCCTACCTCTGTTCTGTGAACCATCACCCAGTTTCCATCTCCAGTCTGCTTGTGGAATTCCAGATAAGGATCTGACTTTCCAAAAAAATCCTGTATTTAAAGAACATGCAATTATCCCAGAACTGCCTGTGGCATAAATGCTAGTTAAAACACACTTAGATTAACAAGAAGTAAACTAAATATTCAGGGAACAAAAGCTTTAGATGAAGAAATGCAGGACTGATTATACTACCACCTGCAAAACAGAAGAAAACAGGACACGTCCGTCAATTTAGGATAAAAGTTCTACAGTGTCCACATACTAAATATCTGATAGCTCAAGCCCAAGAATACTTATACTAATAATTGCTATGATGGATAGATAGTTAGGAAACTAAGGATGTAATCCAGTTCAAGAAAGTATCATTAAATCAACAGACAAAAATAACAACATTTTTCCATTATTACCTTTTAATTTTTGTTTTTAAAAGTCTTTCTAAACACCATATTTTTAGCCAGCCTTAAAATATTTAACATAACAGATTTACACACTCCAAGCACATGCGTTACCATTTATTTCAGGGAGCTAACAGGTAATCATTTATACAACTATCCAAACCAATGGATATACCAAAACTCACTTATCTTTATGATTAAATGTAAAGATTCACATTTAAATGAAACCATGCTATTCACAGAATATCCCTGCAATGCATGTCTTATTTAGAAATATGTTATAATTCATTTCAAAACAGTCAATGAAGTTACTCTGAAGCAATCTCTCTTGAATTTTTTTTAATGTAACAAAAATCTTAACGGCTTTAATTATTTCAGCAAAAAATAAGAAAGAACATTTTAAAGTTTCCTGTTTTGACACACTTCTGATTTTACTACTTTACCAAAGAAACAACAATCACTTAAGTACCTTATTGTCCAGTTTCCTTGCTTCTACTTCCAACACAACCACCCTGTTATCCTTCACTTCTTCTGCTGTAATCTAGATAAGCAAACAAAATAAAATACTTCTTTTGTATTGAAGAACTACGTAGTTTTCTCATATTCACAGCACTCCTACAATAGGCCCATTAAAAAAAAAAAATCATGTTTACTCACAAATGAAGCATCGAAAAATGGGGCGGGGGAAAGAAGGAACAATTTGATTTGACATTGAGATTCACTACATGATGACACCGACAATCAAAGATACTACCCGAACAGCAGCACATCAGATGCCCTAATTATTCTGATGAATGCAATGAGACTTAGAAATGCAGAAGGTGGGCTGCCCTCCTTTTGGATGACAAAGAAATGTTAGTCGAAGAAAAAAAAAAAGCTTTAAGGTGCTTTTTATGGCACTGTAGATTAGACACACTGTGTCCAAACTACTAACTAAAACAACCTTCACAAAAATGTTTAAGGATAAACGCTGCAGAGACTTATTGTCTTAATTGTCTTACCGTAATGCTTCCTCTTCCAGCAGGTCTGCCATTTTTAAGTACTAATGGTTTTGTTAGAGTCCGGCTAGAAACTATCTGCCAAGACAAAATTTGAGTAACAAGCACTATTAGAGCTATTTAACAGATTTTCAAAGGAATGAAATGAGGTAGTGAGGTATTTTCATTTTAGGAATTTTTCCTTCACCACGGAGATGACAGCATTGCACCTACTTCCCATAATCTCCTATAAATAAATAGGCAATACATGATACACTTCAAAATTTTAAAATACATACGCAGATGAACACATGCAGAATTTCAGGAACAATACGAAATAAAATGTCTTGCAGGAACATGATACACATACATGGACAAAGATAATACCTCAAGTTCCAACCTCAAATTCTTCTGAACTTTTTTATACACACCATTCAAACACATGCAAGCTTTCATAAATGGCTTCAGCAAACAGATTTATAAACACAATGTTTGTCTTGCAAGCAAACATCAGGCTCCCCCTGCAGTGTTTCTGGTTGGTTTTATTTTATCTTCTTCAGGCAATGCTTCCTCAGAAGAGTGTAGTCATTCTACAGGTTCTTCTTTATTTTAAGAATGATTAATTTAAACTGTCACTGAATTTCATTTCACAATGCCTCCATCTTCATAATGCACTTAAAGTAAAAATATTTCATACACAGGGGAGGAAAAGTCCCAAAACGACTCTCCTGGGAAGTTCCTTTGAAGGGTCAATTCGAAAGAACAAGTTAAAAAGAAGCTGCCTGATTGCAATAGCACTGAAGTCAACAGTAGTCAGAACCAGAATCACTGCTTGCCTTGAGTAGAAAGCACGTTAGAAGGTTAACATTGCCCTTGTAAATGCTATTCTGTTGCCATACACCAATTCTTTTTATGAAGCATAAAAATAGGAATTTGAGTATTAGAGTTAATGAACAGCAGTTACTACTAAGTGCTCATTGCTGTCTGAAAGTTAAGTGGACTGTCAATCTGGACAGTCACCATTCCAGAGTACGTTTCAGGGCATCATCTCAAGATCTTTTGCAAATAAAATGTATATACAGTGAACTGAGACTTGAAAAAACAAATGAAGGAAATCTATTCAATATAAGGGTACCCCAACTAGCCAATAACATAGTGATAAATTTATGATAAAAGTGGTTAATGATTTGCATTAACTTATATTTTCTTAAAGGAAAATCATCTGCATACTTACTTGTCCCAGTGTACATTCAAATTCTCCTAAAAAGTCATCATCATTCAGATCAAAGGTTTTGTTATCGATGTCATATATTCCAAACTTAAGTTTCTGAACAAGCTCAAAATAGTAATCAATTAGGAATTTCTTGGCAAACTTCGGATTCAAGGAATTTTTAACTCTTTCTGTGCGATCAACCTGCAGTTAAAAAGATATCATTTTATTCAGTATTTCACCAACCAAATAACCACTCAAATCACATATATTATTATTAAAGACTTTCAAAAGTTCTTAGTATAAAGTATAAAGCATATCTTCCTATAAACCTTTCATCAAATATAAATAACCACATTATATTACAAACCCCACTGCTTTAAGTCAGCAATATTTGAGAACCCATTTTCCTTTGCTCACTGTAAGGAGTATCTATTCCTGCATAAGGAAAACCAACATAAAAAAGGTATATTGTCAAATCCAGGATGAGATACTAGTTTTGGAGTATTGTATTTATAAAAGCACATTTAATGACTTGGAAGGCTTCTTCTGTTGGTCCACACATGGCTGGGGAAACAGCGCCAAAAATCAGACAGGTGTAAGTATTTACTAGAAAACAATTATTAGGGTGCTACCTGTACATATCATAGACATAACATAATGAAAAGTATTCAGAGGTGCTGACACATAATTAAAATATTTTAATGAAATCATACACTCCAGTGTTTTAAAAGTTACAAGTTAGACTGTGTTTTTAGCAAATACGTGAGAAGCATCACGCTGTACCTCATACCACTGCTGACCACTCATGTTCTGGAGAAGCACACACAGAGGATCTGACTTGGAACCAACATCTTTATCCAAGAGATTGGTGCAGGCAATAGTCAGCTCCACCTTTGTCACACACTGTGCCGCCATCTGTTAAGCTGGAAAGAAACAACAGAAATCTTTATTTTAAAAATGGACTAAAAAGCAAACAATAGGATTGTCACAATTCAGTAATTCTCTGACTGATCACTAGAATTGTTAGCTTGTCAGGAGAGAGATTTGAGGCTCCCAATGCAAATTTTAAGATTCATGATGTACCAACATTATAGTATTACTGTCACACTCTTGGCTTTGCCACATACGTATCACACTTCATTTCAAAATCTGCACAAAAGAAACATGATCAGGTTTCTTAGAATGCTTGAGGAACCAAATGGAAAACATCATACACCACAAAGCGCTTTGAACTACTGACAATAAAACTTTGCAAGCCTTAAATCACATCCTGCAAAGTCCACGTGAATGTCAGTATCTTATAATGTAGATACTAATAACAACGCAATGAAAAAGGAAAAAAATCATATGATATACTCCCCCACCAAACCTTTGTAACAAAATGCTGAAGCCACGATCATGGCTGAATTGGAAAAGGAGTTTCAGTGGGTAACAGGAATAGGTGATCTTGCTTTACTAAATCTTCGAAAAGGAATAAAATTTTAAGTAATAGGGATAAACAACTCTGAAGTCAAGTAACAACTGAGAATTAGGAGGAAGTGTTTTTCACGGAGGTTCGTTTAAAAAAAAAAAAAAAAGAACTGAGAAGACCAGCAGACATTACAGAATCACAGAATGGTAGGGGATGGAAGGGACCTCTGTGGGTCATCTAGTCCAACCCTCCTGCCAAAGCAGGGTCACCTACAGCAGGTTGCACAGGACCTTGTCCAGGTGGGTCTTGAATATCTCCAGAGAGGGAGACTCCACAACCTCCCTGGGCAGCCTGTTCCAGTGCTCCATTGCCCTCAGAGTAAAGAAGTTCTTCCGCATGTTCAGACGGAACTTCCTGTGCTTCAGTTTGTGCCCGTTGCCCCTTGTCCTGTCACTGGGCACTACTGAAGAGAGTTTGGCCCCATCCTCCTGACACCCGCCCTTGAGATATTTATAAGCATTTATTAGGTCCCCTTGCAGCCTTCTCTTCTTCAGGCTGAACAAGCCCAGCTCCCTCAGCCATTCCTCATAGGAGAGATGCTCCAGTCCTCTCACCATCCTCAAAAACCTACGGAAACAACTTCATTATCAGTTATGAATCCCACTCTGGGATAACATGCATTTGCAAGCCTAATTAGGTCTGAGCAGCAGATATTTTCTACATAAAAAAAATCTCTATAATTATACTCTTCAGGAATACAGTTGATCACTTCCAACACCTCTTTGGGAGGTGAGCCTCTACAGTACTATTGGCCTTGACTCACAGATTAAAACTTCCAAACCTTTCCACAAACAGCCTTTCTTGGAAGTTCCCAAGCCTCTCTAGCTTCAGGTTCTCCTTCTCTACAGTAGGTCCTGCACCTGGGTCGGGGCAAATCCTGCTAGCAATACAGGCTCGGGGATGAGGGGATTGAGAGAAGCCCTGCCGAGAAGGACTTGGGGGTACTGGTGGATGAAAAGCTGGACATGAGCCAACAATGTGCGCTCGCAGGCCAGAAGACCAACTGTAGCCTGGGCTGCATCAAGAGAAGCGTGGCCAGCAGGTTGAGGGAGAGGATTCTGCCCCTCTACTCCGCTCTGGTGGGACCCCACCTGGAGTCCTGTGTCCAGCTCTGGAGCCCTCAATGTAAGAAGGACATGCAGCTGTTGGAGCGGGTCCAGAGGAGGGCCACAGAAATGATCAGAAGGATGGAGCACCTCTCCTATGAGGAAAGGCTGAGAGAATTGAGGTTGTTCGGCCTGGAGAAGAGAAGGCTGTGGGGAAACTTTTTTGTGGCTTTTCAGTACCTGAAGAAAGATGGGGACAGACTTTTTAGCAGGGTCTGTTCTGATAGAACAGGGAGTAATGGCTTTAAACTAAGGGAGGGTAGATTCAGACTGGCTATAAGGAAGAAATTTTTTATTGTGAGGGTGGTGAAACACTGGAACAGGTTGTCCAGAGAGGTAGTGGAGGCCCCATCCCTGAAAACATTCAAGGTCAGGTTGGACAGGGCTCTGAGCAACCTGGTCTAGTTGAAAATATCCTCACCCACTGCAGGGGGGCTGGGCTAGACGACCTCTAAAGGTCCCTTCTAATCCAAAGCATTCTATGATTCTACAATCTTGAAATGGCATGAGACACTAAACAGAGTAAAGAAGGAAACGCATCTGCTTCTACCTAGCCAGCTCACTTGCATCATACACATAAAGTATAATTCAACGTGAAACTCTACTTAATCCAACCCGTCTCTCTTCTTTTCACAGCATTCACATGACTTTTGATGAAAAGGAACTTTTTTTAGAGGCATAACGGGGAAGGAAGATAGAAAAGAGGAACGATGAACTGAAAACAGGAGAAAGAAAACACTTTCTGTGGTCTGAGGGAATTTTCCTGAGGCTTCCTGTATTCCACTCGTGCATACTTCACATGCTGCCTCTCCATCTCTGTTTTGCTACCTTAGAAAGAGACCTTTGGGAGACTCAGGTATATATAAATAATCTGTAAAGGAACCACTCAAACATCCATGCACATACATGCTTGTTAAGCAGCACAACAGATTCACAGAAATCCTCCTGCACCTCCCAAACACCTAAACGTGATCCCATCTTTGAGCATCTTTCGCTCCCATGACCTCACCAAGTTTCAGTCACTGTCTTTGAAGGGAAAAAAAAAGTGAAGTTCTGAGTTCTAATTATTTAAATTGTTTTTAAACCAATGTTTTTTAGGCTTAGAAAGCATACCTTTAAAAAGGAGTCTGCCCCCTTTTTCCTGGTTCTCTTTCTACACTGGCATTTTCCATTCCCTATTCCTTTCCTGGCTGCCAGACAGAGCTCATTAACAGTCGGTGGCTTTGCACATAGAATCCAGTGCAGACCGTTGCATGACTCCTTTATGGCTATTTCCAGAAAAACAACTTTTTGCTGACAAAATAGAGCTCTAATACCCACCGGTGCTGCAACAGCAAGTAGAAAGGAATTTCATTACATTCAACAGAACTCAAACTTGAATTGAGACATATTTCTTAAAATAATCAAAACCTTCTTGTTCTAACTTCCCTGAAACTCCTTATTATTATGAGTCCCCAAAAGTCCTTGTAGCCACATCACTTTTGTTAAAGTAACATTTCCGAAATCACTGGAAAACAGATAGCATCCAGTCAGCCTAAAAATCTTGTCAGCTTTTTCCACTTAGCCTGTGTGCGTGCATGTGTGTGCCCCACTTCTCTCACATCACAAGAACTTTCTCACACGAATACGTCAGTTCTGTTACCTCCTCTCCTTCTCCACACGTCACTGGCTCTTTCACTGTGCATCTAATGTGGGAAAAGAGCAGATTCAGCAAAAGACGTGCTGTGCAAAAAGCATCCTTTAACACACAGAGAAAGGAAGAAAAAAAAAGCTGCTTCCCTTCCCTGAAATGCAAATACTCTCTTGAGACCCAATAATTGCATCTGTATTAAATAAAAGACAATTTATAACCAGAACATAGATTTACCCAATTGGAGGACACTCAAGCTGAAACCCAGATAGAAAAGCATAACTTCCCAAATCCTGAGATAGTCTTTTAATCTCCTCCATTTCCAGTTTCACAAAATCTAAGATGAAAAATAATGCAAGGCATTTGCCTTAGAGGTTTTGAGATTATTAGGAATCAATATTTGTATAATGGGTTGAAGAGGTCTGTAATACTTCTAATGTATTTCAAGAAATAACTTTGCTATTTTACTTGAAAAAAATACATGATTATCCATAATACCATAAGACTAATACGTTTTACAGTAAATAGTTGTATACAACCTGATTTTTACTAATATTGTAAACGTTAAAATTCATAAAATACTTCTTAGTGAGAAAAAATCATATCTCATTAACCCAAAGCAGTATTTACGGTAGTGAAACTCAGTACATGAACAACAGCTACCTCTCTTACAACACTGCTGTCATTACAGAACTTGCAGAGGGCACACAGATGCTTCACATGTGTGAACTCTGAAGTCTTTTAAACAGCAATAGCATATGCTGCACGTATTCTTGTAATCCCATACTGCATAAAAGGAAGAATGACTCCAGCTCCACCCAATTCTCCTCACGTCTGAAAGCCTGTATTAGCTGAAAACTTCCAAAACAGGTTTGGGAGGTGGGTAGTAGGATTCCTCAAGATGATAAACATGCTCAAGGACCAGAGTCACTGTCAGGTAGGTAAGCATGCTCTTTTTGAAGACTTGATGGAATACAGAGTCCCAGCAAATTGCAGTCTCTTCAAGACGGTGGAAATAAGTCACGGCTGCACTAGTGCACTACTTCTTGAAATACCATTCAACAACACACTATCAGATCTAGTAGGCAAATCAGATGCAAAATATTCTAGACACATGACTGCATTACTTGCACATTTGGGATACTGGAATAACTTTACATGGACAGACGATATTGTTTGGGCTCTGGTAGGATAAGCCTTGACTGCCAGTAAGTTACATCACATAACAGGAGACTTATTTATTCAATTAGTCATTATTATGAAAGTAACTATGCTCTCCGTTGGCCAAATATAATTAAAACCTCTTTTCTTCCCAAGCTATCCATTGTTTGTCCTCCATGTCAGGTACACCGTAAAGTAAGGTAAAGCACACCAGAATGGGGCCAGATGACAGTCCTTTCTATTGGAATAGATTTTATGACCGCAGGAGCGTATCAGGCTCTTAAACACCAATAATTCTGGACAGAAGACTGAAAATTGCTACACTAACTGCATGGCAGAACTTGTAACATCCAGACTCTGAACTGCACCATTGTATGGTCACATGGGAGGTATTTGTTCCTGATCCTATGCCAAGTCTAGACTGCTCAAGAGCATGATTAGGTCAACTTAGTCTATTACAAATCCTTCTGCTTGAGCTGTCATGATCAAAGCAAAACTGTAAGTCAAGGACTAGTCTTGTCTTGCTGATCACAGTGTTCTTTGAATTCCACTAATGAT